AGTCCGCGTTGGATAGTGCACTGGCACTGGTACACTGTAGGTTCTATGCGCATGTTTGTGGATTCCACACCAAAAACAATGAAATACAGCAACAACACTTTTGATGATGATGATGATGATAGTAATAATAATAATAAGAAGAAGAAGAAGACAGAAACCTGCATTCTTCTCATCTTAGAAAAATAAATAAAATCCAACTCGATACATATATTATTCCTGTGATATTGTTTCTCTTCAGGAGTCCTCATTAAATTCCCGTAGGTCAACAAGTATAAGCACTACCGCTGCCTTGATTAAATAATAACTATCAAATACCGCATCCAATGCATTTTGCTTGAAACCAAGTCTCTGTTGTCCCACGCTGTCTATTCACATAACAGTTATATAGTGTGATTTGAAGACACAGCTAAATTATAAAAGCCCAGATACCGGTGAATATTTCAAAATTAACCATCCTCAGAAATATTTTAGCGTCATATCTGGTAGGGTTATACGCGCCAGTTGCTCTATGTACAAATTTANCTCATGCATATGAAAATAGTTTATTGTCGTTGTTTATTTTTAATGATCGTTAACACTGTGTTGTCAAGTAAAATGAAGCGTCTGATACAAAGTATCAAATGCGGCATTCACGTGCATGCTTGCTTGCGGTGCGTTCAGTAGGCCTACACTTTGTTTACACTGACAAGTCAAGGTCAGAAGTGCACAATTTTTCTGTATAATATAACGCAGTTTCAATTTTGATTAGCGAATTTTCTTCAAGCTGTATGGCCATTTTCTGAACATTTGTATAAGCTACGAAATATTTCTCAGTCCAAATTTCTCTAAGTCCAAATGAGTGGCGTTACGACGCACTTCCGGTTTTCGTCGAAATCTAAGCTGCGGTTTGCAGCACATTCAGGGCGTTCTACCTCAAAATGTACGCAGCCGCTTTGATTGGAATTTACAACACTTATTCTTTACATGATATAGCATCTACGTACATAATTTGTGAGCTTTAGCTGTCATACATTTGCTAGTGCCAATTCAAATTGTAAAAGGAGCTATTCCGACGATTTCTTGAAGGGCAAGTCTATGAACGTGCTACAGTTGTCGTATGGAATCATAGTCGACAAACGTTGTCGAAAATCTGTATCGATCATACAGAGTTACAGACAAGTTGATAATGTGTGTTTATCTTATAGATAATTATTTTATTTCCTCAAATTGATAAAACAGACTGAAGTGTCGTTAGAGACGATTGACGATGTGCTGAAATTGCGCAAATCGTCAAATTACGTAACGACCGATCTACCTTAAATGGTGGCGATAATAATAATAATAATAATAATAATAATAATAATAATAATAATAATAATATTAAGACAGAAACCTGCGTTTTTCTCATCTTGAGAAATAAAAAAAATCCAACTCAATACATACATTATTCCTGTGATATTGTTTCTCTTCAGGAGTCCTCATTAAATTCCCGTAGGTCAACAATTATACGCACTACCGCTGCCTTGATTAAATAATAACTATCAAATACCGCATCCAATGCATTTTGCTTGAAACCAAGTCTCTGTTGTCCCACGCTGTCTATTCACATAACAGTTATATAGTGTGATTTGAAGACACAGCTAAATTATAAAAGCCCAGATACCGGTGAATATTTCAAAATTAACCATCCTCAGAAATATTTTAGCGTCATATCTGGTAGGGTTATACGCCAGTTGCTCTATGTACAAATTTACACACTCAGCCTGTGTAGAATATGCATGCAAGATTGATCGAGAATAGCAAGGCATTTAATTACAGCATGTTATTAAGTATCAATGTTCTTTTTAATTAGTCAGTTTATGCTACATGTACCACAGGGTGAGGCGAGACGTGGTGGTGGGGGTGGTGTGGGGGTGTGGGTGGGAGTGGGGGGGTGGGGGGGGGGAGATAGTAGGTCTTTCCATGCTCTTGGTAGCATATATATGGCATTTTATAACATTTGCGTATAGCTGTATATCCTGTGGTTATAACACTACACATTGGATGACGGTGTCCTCTTTGTACGGTAATCCTTGAGTAATGTTTCTCAAATGCTTTGTAATATTACAATTCCAAACAAATTAGATGTAAAAAAAGAAAAAAAGGAGAGAGATGCGCTTCTAGGAAACTGTTTCGAAATGTCTTCGACTGTCATAAAAATGCAAGCACATTTATTTATTTATTTATTTATTTATTTATTTATTTATTAAACATTATTTTTGAGGTCGAAAACAAGGTTAATTTAAAATCTATCTTCCCCATGGCCTTTGAACATAACAAGCCCACATAGACTGCAGTCATTGCCCAAACATTCCGGTTTTTCCTAATATATAAAAACAATCAATGAGCCTTACTCGTTTATGCGATTCTCGACCTTGAAACCTTTCAGAGTGATCTTGAAAAAACACGTACATGATACGATCAATAAAGAATATACATGCGAAAAAAAGAGATTCACCCGTGTGCTTTGAGGAATGACGTGGATGCAAGGTCTGACATGCTCTGCCTTTGCTGTTCTAGTTTATTTTGACGAATATTGGCAGTTTTATTTACTGCAGCCTGTGAATTGGTGATAGTATTTTCCGTTACCTGCGATCACTAGCACCCCCCCCCCCCCCAATGGAACCCTCCTGTTATATCACGTGGGACACAGAGTCCCAGCCTGTTACGTAGCTTATACATGGTACTGCAGTTCTGTTACACACATCATGTTTTTTACACGTTTGATAACACCCCGGCCCTGCCATGTTAGTCATGTTCGTAAATCATTTTGTCGGTCATAAAAAACTTTACAAGGAATAAACCAGCAGCAGCTGGGTAGTTGGTGATTTAATGTTGGGGTTAGGAGTGAAAATGAAAAAAAATAGAAAATCTCTCGATTGACGTTCGACACAACCACTTTTTTCAAGGAGACTCAGTTAAATGAGCAACAAGGGTACCCTTCTTAATCTCTTGTTTTACAGACAAGTAATCATTTTTCTCAGAAACGCTGTACATCAATAAGTTTTTTTTTCAAATGCCGTGTTTTACGGGAAAAACAGCCACTTTTAAAGAAGAAATGGGATGACAACTGTTACGTGTAATGAATCACAAATTATGACTTTTCATTTTCTCCAACATCTTCCTGTTTAAGATTTAATGAGTTATTCAATGATACACCAATGTACGACCAGGGCTCTTAGCTGAAGCCTACGGCGTCCCGCTTTGGGCGAAAGTCATCCAACCTTTAAATCAACCTGGCCTTATAAAAGCAGAAGGTCGCCGAGTTAATGCAAAATTAATTTAAAATATACTAAGTAAATCTTCGAAAGAATCCTCGACGGGATTTTGGCACCAAGACGAATTTTCAAAGAGATTGAAGCAATTTTCTCCTGCCAATCATTATACGTACCATAGCTAGACACAATCCCGCCCATTCATCATGATCGGATAATAAAGACTTCGATCTCACTTCATAACAAGAAAATGTCCATTGGTTTTTGTTCGTGGCTTTGTTCTGGAATGGTCGCATTCACAACCAAAGTTGATTTGCGAACTGACAGATCCGCGGATCAAATATGGCCAACCCACTTGAAAGCTAACCGCGTGATCCCGCTGAGAATCTATTCAGTGTCTATTAGGGGATCATGCGGCTAGCTTTCAAATTGATGGGCCACATTTCACCAGAGAGTTTCTTAATCCGCGGATCAATTTTTTCTGAATGACAAGTTGTACAAGTTACACTCATAGTTACAGTATTACTTTTTTAATAGTGGTGGTAATTGTGCTGTATGTTTATTAAAGAAATTATGTGAAATACATTAAAATTTGATAAAAGCAAGAGACTGGAAGCGTGACAAAATTTGATGAAGACTCCATAATAATATATATATATATATAATCCCGTCGAGGATTCTTTCGAAGATTTACTTAGTATATTTTAAATTAATTTTGCATTAACTCGGCGACCTTCTGCTTTTATAAGGCCAGGTTGATTTAAAGGTTGGATGACTTTCGCCCAAAGCGGGACGCCGTAGGCTTCAGCTAAGAGCCCTGGTCGTACATTGGTGTATCATTGAATAACTCATTAAATCTTAAACAGGAAGATGTTGGAGAAAATGAAAATATATATAACAAGCTTGAGTGTGGAACAGAGTGCTCAACAGTACGGAGCATTTGTACACGATTAAAATTAATAAATAAATAAATAAACAAAAGACATGCAATAACCCCGACTCCGAGTTTCACGGGCATACCCAGAAGGTATGCCCGATCGTCAGGAGGTTTATTTGAAAAATAAATTTTTCATATATATATATATATATATATATATATATATATATATATATATATATATATATATACCAGACCATTTCTCTCTCGGGAATGTTTAGCTCGCAAGATAATTCAAAGGTCCGTTTCTGAGTCAATACGTAAAAGTGCGCTATTGATCCTGTCACCTGACCAGATCCACTAACGCACTCTCTCAGGTCTCTCTCTCTGCCACCAATCACAATCCCTTTTTATGTACAGACACAGATGTGGCCATACATCTTATTCCACTTGCTGCATTTAAAACATTGTTTTCCACTAGTGGGACACTTATCCCTGTTATGCATTTGTCCTCCACATCCAGAATACTGTAATCTCGGGTTTATGTTTAGTAGGTTTATTTACCAAGTGTGTGAGTATCTTCTTTAGGTCTGACTCTATCTCCATCTGAGATTTTGCCACTTTGAATTCGATCGTTTCTCATGTTATCAACTTCTTTGTTTAGGTCTTCTTTCTGATTCACCTCTTGGACCTATCTCTCAGGATCGATCTATCTCCGAGGGGTTTCTCGCTAAATTGCTTTCAGCTTAAGCACCCTGGATGTCCGACACGCCTTCTGAAGCTGCTAAACGATAATTAATTACCCCCTAACAATTTCAGTAGGTGTCTTAGACGTCAGAGTCTCTTCAGCTGAATGCAATGTAGAGACAATCCTCTCGAAGATGGGTCGATCCTGCGAGATGGATATAGATATGGGAACGGGGTCTTTGTTTAAGCATAAAATAAACATTGTGATAATATACACTTAAATCGGCGGTGCATAAATATAACAGACAAGCTAGCCGCTGTCTTACGAGCGCCTAATCCACAAGTGGACCGTGGTACGCGTTATAGACGTTATCAGTCTCTTCAGTTAAAAAAAATTCGTTATAACCATGTGCAAACTCTTCGAACGATATGAAGCCATCTTTGTCGGCGTCCATCACTTCGAAGACGCGTTTGGACTCTTCAACGGGGGCGTGTATGCTGTAGAAGAAAGACGCGTGTTCTTCCTTTGATACGCGACCATCGCCATCGACATCCATGGCGTTAAAATCGACGGCGATGAATCTCTTGTAGCCCTCCTCCCGGATGCTTTTCTCGTTGATGACTGACAAAAGTTTTTGTATATATTCCTCCTCCGATATCTTATCTGTTTTGTTCCCTTTTAAATCGATAGACATGAGTCCCCACATGTCAAGGCGTTGGTTTAATAAGCGCTCAGTTTGCTCGTCTGAAAGACAACAAGTAGATGGACAAGCGAAGCCTTACTGGTTACGGGACGCAGAAAGGACGCCTTCCAGTGTAAAGGGGCCCTAACAGACATATCAATGCATATTAGCAGCTATTCGGTTTCCCCATTTCATTACACGAAGTCAAACACTGACATTACCACAGTTAAAATGCGAAATATATATTTAAAACATCTTTAAGTGACGTTATCTCCCAAGTTAGACAAAAAAGATTTTACATGGCGCTAAAGGTATATTACCATGAGATGCTACTGTACACTCAGATTGTGCCAGTTGAGACAGGGAACTAACTGTGCCCAAGTCCTCAAGTCCCCTTCACACTGGACATCGTCCATTAGTACGACCCCGTTTTAGATTTAAAAATACTTTACGTGCCGACAACTCGTTGATCATTGAGCATTCATTCTGCAAGCAAAGCGATGCTTGTACCTCCTTTCTATGACTACAGCAATGCCAGTTTCATGGTTGAACAAAGGACGCAGAAATGACGCCGTCCAGTGTCAAGGGGGCCAGCACGTGGTTTAGAGCAGTAGGCCTATACTTCTGTACTGACATGATGGGATGTGGAAAGCTCACCATTCTTGTTCATTACATTATCGTCTGCAGCTCTCGTAAAGTAAAGTAATAAAATGTTAAGAACTCCCAATCACGCTACATCAGGAAAAACTACCATTTATAGTTACCATTTAAATTCAAATATTCTGCTGCCCGCCTTCCGTTTTCCATCCAGTCTTCTTTGGTAACGTACCCATCAGAGTTGGCGTCCAAACCCTTAAATACAGTTCGTATTTTACGTCTCCAGTGTTCAGATCCAGTAACCATAGGGTAATCAACTGGCATCTGGAAACATTTGTAACTGATTTAAACGATAAATTAAGACAACATCATTGTTATCACCGTAAAATTCTTTGGCTATGCCTGAGAAGCCAACTAGATTACAGGGAATTTGAATTTGCAAAAAACTGTTTGTTATTTCTATCACTCCTTTATTATTATTATTATATGTGATCAGTTCTATTAAAACGCGAGTTCTACCCACCTTTTTAAAACGCACTGTTTGGCTCGACAGTCTCCGGGTTGGCTGGAAGAATCGCCCAGAACCGTGGACCATTCTAGGTTGGCAGTTAGTCCCCAATTTCGTGGAAGGTTGAGCAAGTCTTGCTAATCCCCGGTTTAATTGAATAATCCTCACTAATCCACAACTGCGTTGGGTGAGTTTCGACATGTTGTGCAGCATGGATTGTACCCTAGTGTAGAAGATATTTTCTGATGGCTTATAGGGCTCACTTCTACATGTATGTAAGGCCGCATTCAAAACCACTTGATCCGCGGACTAGCAGATTCTCCGATAAAATATGGCCGATCCGCTGGAAAGCTTGCCGCATAGTCTTCTAGTCCCATAAAAGACACTGAATAGATTCCCCGCGGTGATTTCGCTGTAATCTTCCAAATGGGCTTGGTCATATTTGATCCGCGGATCTGTTAGTCCCTGGATCAACTTTGGTTTTGAATGCGCTCTTAGTGTGCTTAGTCCAAATGTCACCATCAATTTCAAGTCAGATTACCATCAGAATGGATGTACAGTGACTTGTTGGCCTGGTGACCGCTCGATCGTTATTGTTATGCTCTGTTTACATCTGCGTTTGAAATACACTGTAGTAATTATGGGTTAACCGCAGAAAAAATAACATTTTAACCATTCAGGTATTTTGTTGTGGGTTTAACGGTGGCGATAACAGGCCATAACAGGAAAATTACCGAAACCTAAAATAGATGTAATAACTATTCCTCTGTACATTTACTGACGAGCATATCTTTGTCAAAAATGAGGCGTCAGAGAATCATATTTTCTTCAGAGAGAAAGGCTTGTTTTAAATTATTTGTATAAATCTGCTTCATGTTCTCTATTCCTCAACTTCCAAATAAATGATTTTCTCACCATAAACGTCCTCCCGCATCGGAGGCAGACACTCTGACCACAAGGAAATATGGTATTCATTTGGTGCTCGAGCTCATATCGTGCATCCATTATACGTTCGATAGTGAACATACCTTGACAAACCCTGACCTACCCCTACATTGTCCGGGGCGGATCCAGAGATATTTTCTGACAGTCTTCCAAATTATCTTTGTTGATCCATCCTACATGTTTGACCGTCTTCCGACAGAAAAAAAATAGATACCCGTCAATGTAAACTGGAAGACCCAGAAGACGGCCTAAATCCGCCCCTGATTGTATAGGCCACTCTAACGATATTCAAGCGGAAGTTATGTGATGTAAACACGGTATAAATACGCTGTTTCTACGCTGCTCATTCGTTCTTGATCATACGCCTGAGAAGAGTGATTTCAAACGCTCAGAGTTGTCCGTTAATTTCATATGCTAGACTCATACGTACCTCTTTTAAGCTAGGTGTGACCATGGAAGAAAAACTGGAAATGGATCGCGTGGTGGTCTACTGTCTGCTGTGTGTCAAGAGGAGGGCAAAGGGTCGTGTGACAGGCCAAAGTCACAGGTGGTGACCCGTGGAAATACACAGAGCACTCCGTTCTCTCGCGAAAAAAAAAACGGTGTTACGGAAATGAGTGAGGGTCTGTGTAACAGAGAGTCCGCGCGCCATTTAGTTATAATGGTTAGGGTTAGCCTTACTTGAATGTTCAAAATCCAGGGCAGCTCGGCTTACCTGTACAAAAATGAATGGGAAACGAACTCTCTGTCATGGAGGACTCTCTGTTACGTTATACCAGATTCAAAACGGAACATTACCACATTTTAGTTGGTAACAACTTAGATGCGTATATGTAAAAAAGTTATTATTATTATTATTATTATTATTATTATTATTATTATTATTATTCTGGAGATATAGAATACGCTTTGGACATTGGTGTCTTTTTCCCAGAGGAAGTGTCAACGTTTCGATAATGAGGCAGTGCAAGTGCCATGATGCAAAAGTGAATCTAGGTCAGCCGTTACACAGTTTTTTTTTTTTTTGGATACATTCGTGCACCTTTTCAGACTACGAGTAGTTTCCGTGAAATATCAGATGTCAGTTCATCCATTTACCATTTAGAATATTGAAAGCATGCTAATAAAAGTTGGCATAAATATGAACCAAAAACACGAATAAAACATCTCGTTGGTTTATCAAGACTACAACTTCACAATGAAAACCACACACAGTGTAGCACGTTTGATATATTTAAGATCATACTGGTAGTTTGATTCTCTTCTCTGAAAGAGTTCCGATACTGCAGGTGCAAAGCCTTTTGCAACTTTTTAATATTTCTGTAGCTAGTATCCTAAGCCTACTCATGTGCACAGAATTTAGAAGATCATGGTAAGAACCGGCGTAGTCATTGTGAACAAAACGAAGGTCCCTTTCCTGGATATTTTCTAATTTTTTGTATCGATTTCCACACAAATTCCCACACAAGTGGGCAGTATTTAAGATTTGACAAGGTAAATTGTCTAAATGTGCAAAGTCTACATGAAGAGTCCAGGTGTGGTGGGTCTTCTTAGTACATTCCACTGATTGCGACAGTTATGACAGCGCCTTTATCTCAATGGCTGTGCATGCTCGTGCTTTAAGCTTCCGTAACTTCTATACAGGTAAACATAACCTACTTTTTAAAACTCTTTAATCCTAAGAAAATCGCATTATCTCTGTTTTAATGTAAAAAAGAAACGCATTGACAGTACTGTCATGTGTATAAGTAACGGTAAGTCATAGTAAGTCATGGGTGGAACTTATGTTTTAGTGGCACTGAATAGACATTATATTACATTACGTTGGGGCTATAACCGCGACAGATATTCCTAACACCTTGCGATGTTGAACACGGCTGCCCGAAGCTTGACAACCCAACCACTGCATTTTAAAAAAGTAAGTTAAAGTAAAGGAGAGATGGGGGATGCTGCATTTTACAAAATTAAATGTAATGCATGGATGTAGAGGAATCTCTTACAAAAATGAACAGGTTTTTTAAAAAAATAATCTTTCATTTTGTTTTATTCATTTTATCATTAATTTCATGTGGAGGTGTGGCAGAAAATGATCAAAAGTGTCAATATTCAGTGCAGTTGGGTAGGCCTAAATACTCTTTGGACTAGCAACTATAAGGACATTTCCGCACGCGTCAATATAAGTATACACAAAGTACCACAATTCAGCTTGTCATAAATTACTTTATAATGATTCTGGATCGTTGTTCATTAAATTATCTAGATGCCGGCGGACTACCCACTTGTGACTGGCTCGGAACACTGGAGAAGAAAAGTCCGCACCGTATTCAAGTGCTTAGATTCCAACGCAGATGGCTACATCACTAGAGAAGACTGGGTGATCGGGGTCCGCCGTTTCGTCCAGTACTTAAACATTGATGGTAATTTTCTTAAAAAACACGCTCGAATAAATAACACCGTTTTCGAGGTTTATTAATTAATCATCTTACTTCCTCGCACAAATCATACAGTTTTAATCATATTCGACTCATTTAATACTTGCGTATTATTATGTAAATCGATAAGTTTATCACGCAGATTATTTAAAATGTGCTGAATCAACGACTTAGGGATATAGAGCAAATTAGAAGCGGAAGAACCCCTCTCTCTCTCTCTCTCAGCAACCATATAAATAAGGTGTGCATAAAAGTTTATGATACCAAATAAATAAATAAATAAATAAATAAATAAATAAATAAATAAATAAATGGCATCTAAAAACAGGGATAAATTAATTCAAATCGCGATCTTCGTAAGCAAGCGACGTAAACCGTGCATGTACATGTTGGCCTACATAAATAACGCTCCTCGCTTCTTTCAGATGAGAAAGCCGAACGTATTCTAAACGAGCGCCTCGCAGTCTGGAAATCACTCGTCAAAGACTCAGAAGACGACACAACGGCCAAGATTTCAGTAGAGGAATATGTGCAGCATAGTTTATCGTTCGTCAACTGGGTCAACTACCGACAGGAGTTGCAAGTAAAACTCATCTCGACCACCTTCAATGGGATGGACGTCGACGGCGATGGCTTGATTTCCAAGGAAGAACACGCCGCTTTCTTCTACGGTATCCACGTCCCCGTTGAGCACTCGAAGGACGTCTTTAATGTGATGGACGCGGATAAGGACGGTTTTATATCCCTTGCAGAGTATGCAGAGGCGCATATGGAGTTCTGGTTGACCGAAGATCCCGAAAATAAATATAATGAATTTTTTGGACCATTGGTCGACTAGGTACTTTTTCTTTTAAAAAAGAAATGCATCGAAGTAATTTAAGCGAGTTGCGTTGATTTGGGGATTGGTGATGGACATTTTCAAAAGCAGGATAAAATAAGTAGTGAGACTCAGCAAGCATTATCTCCATGACCAGGATGTTTTGAGAATGCAACACAGTACATTTCAGAAAGAAAAACTGAGGACATTCCTGGAAAACTGGCATCAAGGTAGATGTATAGCGCTCACTGAACGAATGGGTTTTCTGATAAATCCAACAGTGTGATAGATCACGTAATGATAAAACCCTGGACTTACAACTGTACAAAATAATAACGCAACGATCCGTCGTTGCGAATCGATACCACCGTTCTTGTGTCAAATCTTTTTCTACTTAAAACGAGCAATGTTTGCCGTCATACCGAACGATCCACCATCCCTCATACTTTATTATCAGAAGTAAGACTCTCGCGATGACATGTTTCCTGGGACCTTCAGCATCAGAAGCCAAAATGGTGGAGATACTTTAAGCCTGGGTCACACTGCGCTTGCAACCTTTTGGCAACCATTTTGCAACCACAAAATCTGGCAGTCGCATGTGATCACTTTGCGAGCTTATAAAGAAGCTATGGACAATTCTGATCTGCAAGCACTCGCAAACCGGTTGCAACAAGGTTGCAGTATGGTATCTGCAATCTCTTATAGACTGTCTTCAAGCTATAAGTTACCAGTCGCACACCAGTAAAAAAACCTATCAGCAACCACTTGGTGATTGAAAACCGGTTGCAGGACTGTAGCAATCGCTTGTCAACTGGTAGCAGCAAGGTCGCACAGAATATATATGTTGCAAACTTGTGACGGTAGCTGCTTTCTCATAAATTCCCCTCTCAGAAGACAAAAAAAAATAGTCTGGTAAAATGGCTTATTTTCAAATAGATTGGACTGCTATATCAATGGCTTTGACTACCTCAGAAGTAGAAAATAAAATAAAAAAAATTGGAAGCACTGTGTGAGACCGTGGATTGCAAGACGCCCTTTGTTAGACTATTCAAGAAGTTATAAAGAGAAGGAGTAGAAACAAGGGGTTTCCTTTCATCCTATCCTCGTAACGGGCTTAATCCTAATAATTACCCAGCTGGTGGTCTTAGGGAGAGCTTGTGCCTAATACATATTCAAAAACCGTTCACATGGGTTGCTTCAGCCAATTGGGATAAAGCCTCGCGAAGTCTCTAATAATCTCACAGAGAAAACATGGTGGGATTACAGAAAGGTGTAGAGAGAGATTTCAAGCCTGGACGCAACCATTTTGGGAAATAAAACTCAAATCATGCGAGATACACCTTCATTTGATCTAGAGCCGATTAGTTATACTAAAATTAGTTTCACATCAAGAATGTATGAGAACAATTTCACAAACCCACCTTCAACGCTAAAATTTGCACCTGTAGAAGTCTCATATTCATTTCAAATTCTTTTTGTCGTGTAAAGGAAATTTATCTTCATCTAGGAATGACACATTCAATTCACAGCCGTGTACACAAAACAGTAGTACTTGCAATTTCCGTATGCCAAGCTCGTTTCTTTCTTTTTTGGCACATTATTGCTTATATACCAGGTAGAGCTTAAACAGGAAAATTGGGGAAATGAAAATAAGTTATTGCACTTAGTATGATTCTAAATAAAATTTCAGTAATACATTTTTTTGTTTATATCATTGTCTATTACAGGAGGTCAACTAATAGTAGACTGATAGTTTAAATTCATTAGAAGAAAAAATCAAAGAAATATTTTTATTGGTTGATATTGCTTTAATTCAACATTCGAGCAACTTGTATAATATCTAAAACAAAGTACCAGCAATGAAAATATGTCAATATTGTTACACCCAATAGTGATTAAAGCAATACAAAAATGGTTAGTTTTTATTTTGATGTGGTGACTATTTTATTTTATACTTTAGACAATTAGCCAGTGAACAATNTTAAAAAACACGCTCGAATAAATAACACCGTTTTCGAGGTTTATCAATTAATTATCTTACTTCCTCGCACAAATCATACAGTTTTAATTATATTCGACTCATTTAATACTTGCGTATTATTATGTAAATCGATAAGTTTATCACGCAGATTATTTAAAATGTGCTGAATCAACGACTTAGGGATATAGAGCAAATTAGAAGCGGAAGAACCCCTCTCTCTCTCTCTCTCTCTCTCAGCAACCATATAAATAAGGTGTGCATAAAAGTTTATGATACCAAATAAATAAATAAATAAATAAATAAATAAATAAATAAATAGATAGATAAATGGCATCGAAAAACATGGATAAATTAATTCAAATCGCGATCTTCGTAAGCAAGCGACGTAAACCGTGCATGTACATGTAGGCATACATAAATAACGTTCCTCGCTTCTTTCAGATGAGAAAGCCGAACGTATTCTAAACGAGCGCCTCGCAGTCTGGAAATCCCTCGTCAAAGACTCAGAAGACGACACAACGGCCATGATTTCAGTAGACGAATACGTGCAGCATAGTTTATCGTTCGTCAACTGGGTCAACTACCGACAGGAGTTGCAAGTAAAACTCATCTCGACTACCTTCAATGCGATGGACCTCGACGGCGATGGCTTGATTTCCAAGGAAGAACACGCCGCTTTCTTCTACGGCATCCATGTCCCCGTTGAGCACTCGAAGGACATCTTTAATGTGATGGACGCGGATAAGGACGGTTTTATATCCCTTGCAGAGTATGCAGAGGCGCATATGGAGTTTTGGTTGACCGAAGATCCCGATAATAAATATAATGAATTTTTTGGACCATTGGTCGACTAGGTACTTGGTCTTTTAAAAAAGAAATGTATCGAAGTAATTTAAGCGAGTTGCGTTTATTTGGGGATTGGTGATGGAAATTTTCAAAACCAGGATAAAATAAGTAGTGAGACTCAGCAAGCATTATCTCCATGACCAGGATGTTTTGAGAATGCAACACAGTACATTTCAGAAAGAAAAACTGAGGACATTCCTGGAAAACTGACATCAAGGTAGATGTATAGCGCTCACTGAACGAATGGATTTTCTGATAAATCCAACAGTGTGATAGATCACGTAATGATAAAACCCTGGACTTACAAACTGTACAAAATAATAACGCAACGATCCGTCGTTGCGAATCGATACCACCGTTCTTGAGTCAAATCTTTTTCTACTTGAAACGCGCAATGTTTGCCGTCTTACGATCCACCATCCCTCATACTATATTATCAGAAGTAAGACTCTCGCGATGACATGTTTCCTGGGACCTTCAGCATCAGAAGCCAAAATGGTGGAGATACTTTAAGCCTGGGTCACACTGCGCTTGCAACCTTTTGGCAACCATTTTGCAACCACAAAATCTGGCAGTCGCATGTGATCACTTTGCGAGCTTATAAAGAAGCTATGGACAATTCTGATCGGCAAGCACTCGCAAACCGGTTGCAACAAGGTTGCAGTATGGTATCTGCAATCTCTTATAGACTGTCTTCAAGCTATAAGTTACCAGTCGCACACCAGTAAAAAAACCTATCAGCAACCACTTGGTGATTGAAAACCGGTTGCAGGACTGTAGCAATCGCTTGTCAACTGGTAGCAGCAAGGTCGCACAGAATATATATGTTGCAAACTTGTGACGATAGCTGCTTTCTCATAAATTCCCCTCTCAGAAGACAAAAAAAAAATAGTCTGGTAAAATGGCTTATTTTCAAATAGATTGGACTGCTATATCAATGGCTTTGACTACCTAAGAAGTAAAAAATAAAATTAAAAAAAATTGGAAGCACTGTGTGAGACCGTGGATTGCAAGACGCCCTTTGTTAGACTATTACAAACATTATTTGTTGAACTTGGACTTGGAATTCAGGAAGACTTCATTTCCCTCCTAAAATAGTCTAGACTAGGTTTCTGAAAAAATCACTGATATTCCCCTCTTGGAATTAGAATTTTTACTAATTGATTAATAGATCTTAACCGTTAGAAATGACACTGTTTGCCCTCCAAAACACTCCAAGGGTTCGCATCCGAGGCCTGTCAGTCCTGAAAAGTCTGACCACCCTCCAAAAAATCCTGGGTCCGCCCCTGTATCACGTTTGATTTATTTAAGATCGTAGTTTGATTCTCTTCTCTGAAAGAGTTCCGATACTGCAGGTGCAAAGCATTTTGCAACTTTATATATTTCTGTAGCTAGTACCCTAAGCCTACTAAACTGTAAAATACTTTAGCCTGTCAAATTTAGAAGGTCATGGTAAGGACTGGCGTACTAGTAGGCATTGTATACAAACCGAAGGTCCCTTTCCTGGATTTTTCCTAATTTTTGGTATCGATTTCTACACAAATTCCCACACAAGTGGGCAGTATTTAAAATTTGACAAGGTAAATTGTATGAATATGCAAAATTTGCTTGAAAAGCCCAGATATGATGAGTATTCTTAATACATTAAATTTATTGCGACAGTTGTGACGGCGCCTTTATCTCAATGGCTGTGCATGCTGGTGCTTTAAGCTGTCATAACTTATACACAGGTTAACATAACCTACTTTTTTTACACTCTTTATTCAAAAGAAAACGCACGGTCGCATTATCTCTTTTTTGAGAGTAAAAAATAACGCATTGACAGTATTGTCATGTGTATAAGTAATGGAGAGGTCCTACCTTTTCATCGTAGGTCATAGGTGGAACGCATTTTTAGCTGCACTGAGTAGACATTAAATTACATTATGTTGAGCGTTATAACCACGACAGATATTCCTACCACCTTCCGGTATTAAACATGGCTGCGCCATTGAAAGTTGCTGGTACATGTACTCGAGGATTAGCTAAGTACATACCGGTTTATATACATTCAAGCCGGGGATTAGCAAGAATTATCCAACCAAGGCGGGGATTAATAAGGATTAAGACATCCTGGAGACCTCGGATTACTTTTCGGCCATGTTTGATTGCAGGTTTCCCCACATCGCGTAGACCTGCCCGAGGCTTGACAACCCAACCACTGAGTTTTAAAAAAGTAAGTTAAATGAGAGATGGGGCATGCTGCATTTTACAAAACTAAACATAATACATGAATGTAATATATATCTCTTACAAAAATGGAGAAGGTTTTTTATCTTTAATTTTTTGTGGGGGTGTGGAGGAAAATGATCAAAAGTGTCAATATCCAATGCAGTTGGGTAAATGCACTCTGGACTGGCGACGATACGGACATTTCCGCACGCGTTTATATACATATACATGTATATAGAGAGTACAACAATTCAGCTTTTTATGCCTTATTTGTTCAATGATTCTGGATCGTTGCTCATTGAAATATCTACCGTGTAGATGCCGGCGAACTACCCGCTTGTGACTGGCTCGGAACACTGGAGAAGAAAAGTCCGCACCGTATTCAACTGCTTAGATTCGAACTCAGATGGCTACATCACTAGAGAAGACTGGGTGATTGGGGTCCGCCGTGTTGTCCAGTATTTGGATATTGATGGTAATTTTCTTAAAAAACGCGCTTGAATAAATCACACCGTTTTCAAGGTTTATTAATTATCCCACTTCCTCGCATTAATTTTACAGTTTTTATTATATTCCACTCATTTTATACTTACGTATAATTAGGTAAATCCGTAAGGACTAAGTACTCACTTTCCCCATTTTGAAACAAAATGGTGAATTCTGCCCACACCCCCCCCACCCCCTTTCAAAAAAAAAATGTTTTGGGTGCTACAATTTATTCATTATTTAACCATCTGTGTACTGTCTCCTCAGCGAAATTTTGACAGCAAACCCCTTAGGACCTAACCCCTCTACCTAACTTCTCACCATCTTTGAACAGATAATGACATCTAAAAACGGCAAGCTAGGTGAAATAAGATGAAAAGGATGACCACGCAGACTATTTGAAATACATCAAATCATCGAATTCGTAATAAAGCGAGTCGGAAGATCAGAACTTCTCTCTCTCTTCTCTCTCTCAATGACCATAGATTTACATGTTTGATACGAAAAAACAAGCAAATAAATGAAATAAAGAAATAAATAATACAAAACGCAATCTTTGTAAGCAAGAGACGTAGACCCCATTTCCAGAGATTAGATCGATCTACTTTAGATCGACCTAACTCCCTGGGGGTTCACGCTAAATAGCTGTCAGCCGAGCGGACACGAAAGTTAATTACCCCTTACAGCTTGCAGTAGGCGGGACGGACATTTAAGCCGGATTATCTGACTGTAATCTAGTGAGACTCCCCGCGGGGATAGATCGATGTAAAAGCTCTGGTAATACAGCCATAAACCGTACATACTAACTAAAAGAGAGCATTCACATCGAGATGAGCCGAGGTCTAATAAGGCCGCGACCTTCATATGGCTGACCTCACCACGCGTTGTCCTTCGACCAGTTAAATTGAGCCGAGATTTAATTAGTGAGCCCCTGAAGGGACAACGCGCAGGGAGGCGTGTGAGAGGCGGAGAGACCATTTTAATTAAAATGGCTTAGGCGGTCTTCCTTTCATGTAAGTGAGCCATATTTAGGTCGAGGCCTTACTAGACCTTAGCTCTTTTCGATGGGAATGCTCCCTTAATATCTGCCCTCGCCTCTTTCAGATGAGAAAGCCGAACGCATTCTAAACGAACGTCTCGCAGTCTGGAAATCCCTCGTCAAAGACTCAGAAGACGACACAACGGCCAAGATTTCAGTAGACGAATATGTGCAGCATAGTTTATCGTTCGTCAACTGGGTCAACTACCGACAAGAATTGCACGTAAAACTCATCGCGACTACTTTCAATGGGATGGACCTCGACGGCGATGGGTTTATTTCCAAGGAAGAACACGCCGCTTTTTTCTACGGCATCCACGTCCCCGTTGAGCACTCGAAGGACATCTTTGATGTGATGGACGCAGAGAAGGACGGTTTTATATCCCTTGCAGAGTATGCAGAGGCCCATATGGAGTTTTGGTTAACTGAAGATCCCGATAATAAATATAATGAATTCTTTGGACCATTGGTCGACTAGTACTTGTACTTTCTCTTTTTAAAAGGGATGCATTGAGGTAATAAGCGAGTTACGTTGATTTGGGAATTGGTGATGGAAGTTTTCAAAAGCAGTGGGTAAAATAAGTAGGGAAACTCAGCTAGCATCATCTCGATGACCAGAATGCCTTCAGAATGCAAAACTAACACATTTCAGCATGAAAAACTGAGGACATTTCCTGGAAAAATGACATCAAGGTAGATGTATAGCGCTCACTGAACGAATGGATTTTCTGATTAATCCAACGATGTGATATCACATAGCATGATAAAACTCTGGACTTACAAACTGTACGACATAATAACGCAACGATCCGCCGTTGCGAATCGGTACCACCGTCCCAGAGTCCGTCATACGATCCACCATCGCTCTTACGTTATTATCAGAAGTAAGACAATAGTACATGTATGTTTCCTGGGACCTTCAGCATCAGAAGCCAAAATGGTGGAGATACTTAAAGTCTGGGTCACACTGCGCTTGCAACCTTTTACTCTTTTTTCAAACACAAAATCTGGCGGTCGCATGTGACACTTTGCGAGCTAGTTAAGAAGCTATGGCCAATTTTGATCGGCAAGCAGTCGCAAACCGATTGCAACAAAGTCTAAAATTACAACAGCAATGTTTTGCGAACTTTTGAACAGACTACACCCTCGCCTAACGAAAGCAGTGATGTAATGAAAATATAAATTTGAATATGTTTTAATCCTTATAAATCTTATAACACTCTTTTATATTTTCTTGTACATGTATAAATACATGATCTCTTTGAGGTCGCAAGGCCTGTGCGGTTACGATCACAATGAACAAAAAAAAAACTCTTTGCGACTTGCAGCTGTCACCGGTTTCAAAAAGGTCGGCGACTGGTTGTAACAACTCGAAAAGTGGTTTCCAAATGAACGTTGTGTTAATATCAGGTTGCGCCAGTTTTCTGTGCAGCACCGATAACCTCCTGGCCTCCGAAAAACCTACTTGTGGTATCCTACCGGTTGCTAACAGGTCACCGACTGCTTTCCAACTGATTTGCAACCGAATGTGTGGTTTTCCCTTTGTCTTTTTAACCCCAGGCGTTTTCCGCTTACTTTTCACAGTCTCATCCTTGTAGTAAGGATACAAAGCACTGGAAGGATGTTAAATTGTATGTATTGAAACTATTTTTATTTAAGATTATTGGACTTATCTAAAGTTCTGTTACATTGTTTGTAAATAATTTTAATGGTTGAAAATATGATAATAAATAGCAATTATACATAGTTGATTAAATATTTCTATTTTCCGTTTTCTCTCCATTCGTGTATTTGTTCCATTGTTTACTCAGATAATGGCTTTGCAGATTTTAAATGACATAGAGCGATAAAACATTGAGGGAATCGGCATATTGTAAGCAACCAGACGACTAAATACCGTCAATCAACCGTGTAGTTGCAAGTGGCATGCTACTGGTTATTCAACCTACTGGCAACCAAGAAGAGACCGATAGGCAACCTTTAGGATATCGAACTGGTAGAACTGGGTTCCGTATCTCGAAAGGTTCGCTATGTTGCGCACGTGCGCAAGCGACTCGATTCCATAACCGATTCTATTTCGAGATACGGTGCCATGGAATCGAGACGCTTGCGCACGTGAGCAAGTGTCTCGATTCCATAACTCACCCATACTAGTCCCATATAATACATTGTAGACTCTATTTGATATAGCGATTCGCAATACGCGATGCTTTCGAGATACGGGGCCTGGTTGTCGGTGCACAAAAAATGGCCTTCATATGTCAACGATCGCAGGCGACCTGTTAGCAACCTTATGCGAACACTTTAAAACCTATGGCAATCTCCTTGCGACTGAGGTTGCAAAGAGGCTGCCAAAAGGTTGCAAGCGCAGTTTGACTCAGGCTTTATATCTGCTAGGACTCAACATTGAATCCTGGATATATGTAATTTCAATTAAAATTTCAATTAAAATTTAGTATGAGAAAATACTGTATAGTAACTGAGGTTTATTTCAAGACGGAATTAATGGCACAATATTAGAATCTCTACTACTACTACTACTACTACTACTACTACTACTACTAATAATAATAATAATAATAATAATAATAATAGTAATAATAATAATAATTTATCGTTCAGAATATAATTTCCTACATGCAGAGTAACCACCTCCAGCTTTTCAAAGCATTATCAACACGACCATGAACGACAACACAAGCACAATGTTTAGGCAAATTCAGTACAAGGTAAAATGTGCCATTCATTTTGATTTATCGTCGGTTCGACTCATTTAGTCCGACTATATGTCCTTTTTGACATGGCTCGTCTATATTTGGGACCTGTTTCACAGGATAAGCTTAGCTATACACATGTAATAAGTCTCAACATTGAGAACAAAGGCACAATCTACTTTGAACTAATATAAATCGGAATTAGGCCAATTTAATAATTGCACTTTATAACAATAAATAAATAAATAAATAAATAAATAAATAAATAAATAACATGGAAAAGAAAAACATGAAAAATATTTCAGACCAAAACTCGAGACTTATCTTCACAACCAGCCCATGATAATAAATGGGATGGTGGTAGACCAAAATTCACGAGAAATAAAACCATTCATTCACAAATCACAGTAAATTAAACTTAATTCATACCTCACTCATGATGCGCATCACCGGGTATAATTACTTCGTTTCACGAAGGGCGAAGAATAAAAAACCACAATCACGAGTCACGAGAACGCGGTGCTTCAAGGATCACGTTAAATGAAATGAACGTTTCGTGCATTTCGGGAAATAAAAGGTGGTTTTCATTGGTAGCGAAAAGACCAGACGGGACGCTCATCACCTTTTCTCACTCATAATATAGCGTACAACCATAAACAATCAATCTCAGAAAAATAAAATTCCAATTAAAATGAGGTGATTTGAGGTACACCTGGGTATTAACATTTTCCTTTATTTTTGGCAGTAAGAAGCATCACTTCTTCGGCCAGTGGTCCGTATAACTCGTTGTATGCGTTTTCTGGATCCTCGGTAAAAAAGTACTCCATAAAAACGTGGGCAAATTCGTCCATGGATATGAAACCATCTTTGTCGTCGTCCAACATGCCAAACATTTCCCTCGATTTGTCGATTGGAACATTCAAACTGTAAAAGAAAGCCGCGAATTGGTCCTCGGATGCAAATCCGTCGCCGTCTAAGTCCATGGTTTTGAAGTCCACGGTTAAAATATTTAGGAGATACTTTTGTCGAAAACTATCTTCGTTAACGACCGAGGATATATTCCTTAAGAAATCTTTCTCTGTAACCTTGGACGGGTCTTCTGGGCTTTTCGGAATTATTTCCCAAAAGGTAAGGCGTTGATGTAAAAGATGCTTTGCTTTCCTGTCTAAAAATGGAAAGAGAAAAATTGAAACAAACTATCAGATATACATGGCGCCCCATGCATTTTCAATATAACTTTCATTCAAAGTTAGAATTGTGCTCGAAAATGACAGCTTGATAATTCTCATACGGTTACCCGGAGAGAGAGAGGGAGAGAGAGAGAGAGATGAACAGAGTGCAATTTTTTTTTGAGCCGGCCGACCACACACCCCTTCATCGAATAAGTTTCACTAAATTTCGCTAAATACCCATTGCTACCGGCATTTGTCCCCATGGTAGCAATCAAGCCAGTTTATGCATTCTTCATGCATTATGCGACATCACTACGAGCATGAGACTGTTGAAGTAATTGCATCATTATGAATAAAACAATTAGGTACATGTAAAACAAATTTACTTAAACAGCCATAGGCTTATAAATATGTGAAATATTTAAGCGCCAACTGGGTCAAGGTATAGATCTTTTAAATAACACACCGTACTACTGTGTACCAGTAACTTATTATACTGTACGTTATATATTACATTTTGTGTTAAACCACAGAAACACATCAACTGCTTTAATGCATTTTTAAAAATTACGTTACACCATTACCGTCAAGTCCTAAATATTCAGTTGCACGCTCAGTGCTTAACATGAAGTCCTCCTCTGTCAGGTAGCCGTCAGCGTTTATGTCGTAGCATCTGAATATCGTGCGGAATTTTTGTATCCAGTGGTCTGATCCCGTCACCGAAGGGTAATCGTTTGGCATCTGAAATGTTTATGTTGATTTCTTTAAAGCGATGAAAAAATAACGCATTGTGTATTTTAATGTGCGGTGACATAGAAGACTGATAGTTTACTGACTATAAAATAATGAAATATCCAGTCTAGGCTTTTTAAGGAAATTACAGTGTATACATGCTCATGTAGTCAACTTTCGGATGGTAATATATGTATGGATGGAAAAATATCAAAGACATTATGTTTGAAATATGGGAACAATGCACCGTTTATTGTTGAATTCACACAGCTAGCCTGAGTTCAAATGGATAGCAAAACGCAACGGTGGAACGTTATTATGTGATTGTTTTTTTTAATACCCAGTGTGAAATGGCAGAGGGCAGAGAGTCTCCCATGATAGAGAGTCCGCTTCCCCTTAATTTACTCAGGTAAACCTCGCCTTAGAGACCATTCCCACATATATTTAGATCGTTCTATCCCCCTGGGGAGTCTCACTGGATTGCTGTCAGCATAACCGGCTTAAGGTAGATCGGTCGTTACATGTTCCAACGTTCGAATTTTTTTAAAAATTTTTTTGTTTGAAGAGACACCCAAGTACATTAAAAATTTGCAAAAAAAATTGGGGGTCACCGACCAAATAAGAGAACTATGCCCAAATATGTTACACCCTGCATATCGCACTAGTCCCCATTCAAATCAATGGGAAAATGGGTGTTTTTTTTACTAAATCATTATTTTCTGTGATTTTCTAACGTTCGAATTTAAAAAAAAAAAATTTGTGTAAAGGGGTATCCAAGTACATTTAAATTTTACAAAAAAAAAATGGGGGTCACCGACCAAATAAGAGAACTACGCCAAGTTGAAGTTCATTACACCCTGTGTGACGCACTAGTCCCCATTCAATTCAATGGGAAAATGGGTGTTTTTTCACTAAAACGACATTTTTTATGAATTTCTAACATTTGAATTTTTTTGAAAATTATTTTGTGTAAAGAGGCATCCAAGTACATTTAAATTTTGGAAAAAAAATTGGGGGTCACCGACCAAATAAGAAAACTACGCCAAGTTGAAGTGCATTACACCCTGCATATCGCACTAGTCCCCATTCAAATCAATGGGAAAATGGGTGTTTTTCACTAATAGGTTATTTTTAATGATTTTCTAACGTTTGAATCTTTAAAAAAAATTATTTTATGTAAAGAGGCATCCAAGTTCATTTAAATTTTGGAAAAAAAATTGGGGGTCACCGACCAAATAAGAGAACTACGCCAAGTTGAAGTTCATTACACCCTGCGTGATGCACTAGTCCCCATTCAAATCAATGGGAAAATGTTTTTTTTTTCACTAAAACGACATTTTTTTATGAATTTCTAACATTTGAATTTTTTTGAAAATTATTTTGTGTAAAGAGGCATCCAAGTACATTTAAATTTTGGAAAAAAAATTGGGGGTCACCGACCAAATAAGAAAACTACGCCAAGTTGAAGTGCATTACACCCTGCATATCGCACTAGTCCCCATTCAAATCAATGGGAAAATGGGTGTTTTTCACTAATAGGTTATTTTTAATGATTTTCTAACGTTTGAATCTTTAAAAAAAATTATTTTATGTAAAGAGGCATCCAAGTTCATTTAAATTTTGGAAAAAAAATTGGGGGTCACCGACCAAATAAGAGAACTACGCCAAGTTGAAGTTCATTACACCCTGCGTGATGCACTAGTCCCCATTCAAATCAATGGGAAAATGTTTTTTTTTTCACTAAAACGACATTTTTTTATGAATTTCTAACATTTGAATTTTTTTGAAAATTATTTTGTGTAAAGAGGCATCCAAGTACATTTAAATTTTGGAAAAAAAATTGGGGGTCACCGACCAAATAAGAAAACTACGCCAAGTTGAAGTGCATTACACCCTGCATATCGCACTAGTCCCCATTCAAATCAATGGGAAAATGGGTGTTTTTCACTAATAGGTTATTTTTAATGATTTTCTAACGTTTGAATCTTTAAAAAAAATTATTTTATGTAAAGAGGCATCCAAGTTCATTTAAATTTTGGAAAAAAAATTGGGGGTCACCGACCAAATAAGAGAACTACGCCAAGTTGAAGTTCATTACACCCTGCGTGATGCACTAGTCCCCATTCAAATCAATGGGAAAATGTTTTTTTTTTCACTAAAACGACATTTTTTTATGAATTTCTAACATTTGAATTTTTTTGAAAATTATTTTGTGTAAAGAGGCATCCAAGTACATTTAAATTTTGGAAAAAAAATTGGGGGTCACCGACCAAATAAGAAAACTACGCCAAGTTGAAGTGCATTACACCCTGCATATCGCACTAGTCCCCATTCAAATCAATGGGAAAATGGGTGTTTTTCACTAATAGGTTATTTTTAATGATTTTCTAACGTTTGAATCTTTAAAAAAAATTATTTTATGTAAAGAGGCATCCAAGTTCATTTAAATTTTGGAAAAAAAATTGGGGGTCACCGACCAAATAAGAGAACTACGCCAAGTTGAAGTTCATTACACCCTGCGTGATGCACTAGTCCCCATTCAAATCAATGGGAAAATGTTTTTTTTTTCACTAAAACGACATTTTTTTATGAATTTCTAACATTTGAATTTTTTTGAAAATTATTTTGTGTAAAGAGGCATCCAAGTACATTTAAATTTTGGAAAAAAAATTGGGGGTCACCGACCAAATAAGAAAACTACGCCAAGTTGAAGTGCATTACACCCTGCATATCGCACTAGTCCCCATTCAAATCAATGGGAAAATGGGTGTTTTTCACTAATAGGTTATTTTTAATGATTTTCTAACGTTTGAATCTTTAAAAAAAATTATTTTATGTAAAGAGGCATCCAAGTTCATTTAAATTTTGGAAAAAAAATTGGGGGTCACCGACCAAATAAGAGAACTACGCCAAGTTGAAGTTCATTACACCCTGCGTGATGCACTAGTCCCCATTCAAATCAATGGGAAAATGTTTTTTTTTTCACTAAAACGACATTTTTTTATGAATTTCTAACATTTGAATTTTTTTGAAAATTATTTTGTGTAAAGAGGCATCCAAGTACATTTAAATTTTGGAAAAANGACTGCACAAGTCTCTGCACCCACCAACTCCGTTGAAAAAACTTCGACATGGTGGTCCTTTTTTTTTAGCTGGGATGCAATCGGAATTAATAACACTACTGTTGATTGTTTGCAGCACTATCCTCTTCGCCTAATAATGCGCCTGATGAATCCTGTACCCAAACATCGGGACGTTATCTAATTACGAACCAACACAGTTTATGACCCAAATGGTACAATTGTCTAGAACACTGAACCCTCCAGACGGAAAAAACTAAAAATAAACTATGCAGCTGACCTTATAGCTACAAGACAAGAAAGTAGGTCACAACAAGCGCCATACGTCGCATAACAGACTTACTGTGTCACGTAAATAAGCAGTGATGCAACTGAGCAGGCCTATACTGCACATTTATTCGTTGACAAGGTGGGTACGGCCATGGAACTATAGGGTACAGCACACACTTTTAAAAGGCACTCGTGTTCACCCTGCGGACCCTATTGTATTTATTACACGGGTAATATTTATATGTACTTCAAAAAAAAAAAAATAATAATAATTGCAAAGTATACATTGGTCCCACTCTGCTCGTTGAGCTGTTGATGTATGATAACAGAACTTGTGGGGCTTGATTTGAATTTGAGCGTATGCATAGCGGCTGCATTACGTTTAGTATCACATTGGTCGTGTTGTTTATATATTTTTATATAAAATATGTATAAACGTATTATAATATCATATTATTATTATAAACGTATTATTCATAATCTGTCTGCAAACATTCATTTAATATTCTGATTCCACCATATATTGTACCACGCATATCATTATGGGCTGATTATTTCTAAGAGAGGCAAAATGGAGAACGTGCACGGTTTAAACCGGTTCAAACCCCAGTTTACATTGTATATCACTGCGCATGCTCGAATTGTGTTCATTCGACAAGTGGTCCGAAAAAATCGTTGAACCTGTTACCTGGATCCTCCGTCAACATAAATTCAAGATATCCACGCGCGTACTCGTCAATAGATATGAATCCATCTTTGTCACTGTCCAATACGCCAAATAACTTCATCGAATCTTCGATAGGGATTTGTATACCGTAGTAAAAAGCTGCGTGCTCCTCCTTCGAGATGAAACCATCCCCGTTGATGTCCATGGCGCGGAAATCCGCGGAGATGCTTCTGGGATAGAGGTCCTGTCGGAAAGAGCTTTCGTTGATGACCGATGTCCAGTTCTGCATGAATTCCTTTTCCGTCACTTTGGCGGCTTGGTCATCAGCGTCGTTGTCAATGTGAAGTCCCCACAAATAGAGGAATTGGTGTAAAATACGGTGGCTTTCCTTTTCTGCAAGACGTAAGATTGGGATATATAGGTTATAATAATTGTTAATAATACTAATAATTATTATTATAATTATAAGAATTGAAATGCTTATAATCTTCAATAGATAACAACAACAATAGCAACAAAAATAATGAAAAGGCTCATTAATATTGAATAGATAATAATTTATTATTATTATTTTTATGAATGATAATGACCCTTTCAATGCACATGAGTCTACTCAGAACCTGTGATATATTTTATTGCTACATTCAAGAGACAACGAAATACACTTGCTCGCTTAACAAAATATTTTATGTGCACTTTCTGTACAAGAGACAAAATGCCAGGGTTTTCAATATACATCTATCTTGGGAGTTCAACATCATAGAAATATAAGGCACTGTAGAGCGTTACTTTTAGCAATTTGGATTGTCTAATTACCATTTAACCCCAAATACTCCGCAACCCTTGTTGCACCCTTAACATAGTCTTCTCTTGTAAGGCAGCCATCCCCGGTCGAATCTAAACGGTTGAACATTGTGCGTATTTTTCGTTTCCAGTGGTATGAGCCAGTCACTGGCGGGTAATCACTCGGCATCTGGAATATTTCATTGAATAACATCGGTCCCAAAACATATTGTGCTTTTTATTAAAGCTGAGGTAGTACATATATTCTTCTACCCACTTTTAAGACGTGATGTTCGGGTCTTTAATATCCTGGTTGCCTGGAAGTAAAACGTACAATCTAGAACCAGTCTAGGTTTAAGTCTTGTTTTTTATTAAAAAAAAAGATTTTATCTGATAGTCCGCATCGCATGATGTCTGCACAATTTTGGCGGTTGGCGACATTGGGCCAACCTTAAGACAGCCACCCTCTAGCACATAGCACTCACGTATGAGAAAAATGACTGATCACGTATTCCCGACGTACGCTAAGCGCATGGAACACGTATCCCCTACACGTACGTTTTATTGCCTGCGGGTTAATCATATTTCTATTTTAAAATATGTTCGTAACAGCTGTTGAGAGAATGAGGTCGCTGTTTTCCAGCACCAGTTGGACCTGATCCAGTTGACAGCGCAAAGTAATCAGCAAAATATTTCGATGCTTCAGGTGCGTTACTCGTGCGCTCATCTACGGCACTTATATGAGCTCACATACGGCATTCAAGATTCCAGGACCACCCCCCCTCCCCCCCCCCCCCCCGGACAATCCCCCTCCCCTTGGGCAATTACCCCAAGACCATTTCCCCCACCTTCCAGGAAAGAAAATAGATTGCTTTTGGGTCATATATTTAAGGCATTTATACGTTTTTTTTAAAAAATATTTTATCGAATATAAGAAAGGAGAAAACAAATGGAAGCTATTAATAGTGTCATTTAATTCATCAGGGGTATACCTGGATTATCTGTTTACCTTACCTCTACATTTTGATTAAAGGCAAGCATTTATAATTTTCTTAATATCTTGTTCTCCTCCACCCTCTTAATATCATGTTGCTCATTCTCACAATTTTGTTCACGGGGTACTGGTGGTTGTCTGAGGGGGGGGGGGGGGTGTGCGGGGGATCCTACTAACGGCATTTATGCGCTTCATACACTTATACGGTGTTCATACGTTCATACAGTTTGTACGCTCATATACAGTGCTCAAATATTAATATACGTTAATGTACGCTTACACACGTTAACATATGCTTGGATATGCTACGCATTCGCTGTTCCAACACAATTTCTACGTTGCAGATATGCTGTCCATGCAATGTCTGTACGCAACGTTTATGTTCATTATCATACGCTGGAAAAGGGGTAATTTAATTTAACCTCTCAAAGTAGTGAGTATAATCCATTTCAATTGCGATACTCATTCTGACATTGATGTGCTGGAGTGTGATNCACTGCACAAGTCTCTGCACCCACCAACTCCGTTGAAAAAACTTCGACATGGTGGTCCTTTTTTTTTTAGCTGGGATGCAATCGGAATTAATAACACTACTGTTGATTGTTTGCAGCACTATCCTCTTCGCCTAATCATGCGCCTGATGAATCCTGTACCCAAACATCGGGACGTTATCTAATTACGAACCAACACAGTTTATGACCCAAATGGTACAATTGTCTAGAACACTGAACCCTCCAGACGGAAAAAACTAAAAATAAACTATGCAGCTGACCTTATAGCTACAAGACAAGAAAGTAGGTCACAACAAGCGCCATACGTCGCATAACAGACTTACTGTGTCACGTACATAAGCAGTGATGCAACTGAGCAGGCCTACACTGCACATTTATTCGTTGACAAGGTGGGTACGGCCATGGAACTATAGGGTACAGCACACACTTTTAAAAGGCACTCGTGTTCACCCTGCGGACCCTATTGTATTTATTACACGGGTAATATTTATATGTACTTCAAAAAAAAAATAATAATTGCAAAGTATACATTGGTCCCACTCTGCTCGTTGAGCTGTTGATGTATGATAACAGAACTTGTGGGGCTTGATTTGAATTTGAGCGTATGCATAGCGGCTGCATTACGTTTAGTATCACATTGGTCGTGTTGTTTATATATTTTATATGGTGTTTCTAATAAAATATGTGTAAACGTATTATAATAACATATTATTATTATTATTATGTCTACAAACATTTATTAAATATTCGGACTCCACCATATATTGTACCACGCAAATTATTATAGGCTGATTATTTCTAAGAGAGGCAAAATGGAGCACGGTACGCCTTTGCTCAAAAGTTAATTAAGCAACACTTTATTATTTAAAAATATTTTCCAAAAGCAAGTTTTTGATTAAGAATTAAGAATCCCCTAGTTACTGGTCCATGTATCTAACCCCCCCCCCCCCCCGGCTATGAGTATACAACACAGAGGGGCAGTACTTTTTTTCAAATTTGAATCTTTAGTCAAATAGCTAGTATCAGACCCCAGTTTGCATTGTATATCACTGCACGAAATTGTGTTCATTCGACAAGTGGACCGAAAAAATCGTTGAACCTGTTACCTGGATCCTCCGTCAACATAAATTCAAGATATCCACGCGCGTACTCGTCAATAGATATGAATCCATCTTTGTCACTGTCCAATACGCCAAATAACTTCATCGAATCTTCGATAGGGATTTGTATACCGTAGTAAAAAGCTGCGTGCTCCTCCTTCGAAATGAAGCCGTCCCCGTTGATGTCCATGGCGCGGAAATCCGCGGAGATGCTTCTGGGATAGAGGTCCTGTCGGAAAGAGCTTTCGTTGATGACCGATGTCCAGTTCTGCATGAATTCCTTTTCCGTCACTTTGGCGGCTTGGTCATCAGCGTCGTTGTCAATGTGAAGTCCCCACAAATAGAGGAATTGGTGTAAAATACGGTGGCTTTCCTTTTCTGCAAGACGTAAGAGTGGGAAATATAGGTTATAATAATCTTTATATTATTTTTATTATTATTATTATTATTATTATTATTATTATTATAATTGAAATACTTACACTCTTCAATAGATAACAACAACAATAACAACAAAAATAATGAAAATGCTCATGATATTGAATAGATAATACAATTATTATTATTATTATTATTATTATTATTATTATTATTTTATTATCATTATGAAAGATAATGACCCTTTCAATGCACAATTAAACCAGGGCATAAGTCAACTCAGCACCTGTGATATATTTTATTGCTACATTCAAGGGACAACGAAATGCACTTGCTCGGTTAACAATTTATTTTATGTACACTTTTTGTACAAGAGACAAAATGCCTGGGTTTTCAATATACTCAACGTACATCTTGGGAGTTCAACATCCTAAAATATAAGGCGTTGTAGACCGTTACTGCTAGCAATTTGGATTCTCTAATTACCATTTAATCCCAAATACTCCGCAACCCTTGTTGCACCCTTAACATAGTCTTCTCTTGTAAGGCAGCCATCACCGGTCGAATCTAAACGGTTGAACATCGTGCGTATTTTTCGTTTCCAGTGGTATGAGCCAGTCACTGGCGGGTAATCACTCGGCATCTGGAATATTTCATTGAATAACATCGGTCCCAAAACATATTGTGCTTTTTATTAAAGCTGAGGTAGTACATATATTCTTCTACCCACTTTTTAAGACGTGATGTTCGGGTCTTTAATATCCTGGTTGCCTGGAAGTAAAGCGTACAATCTAGAACCAGTCTAGGTTTAAGTCTTGTTTTTTATTTAAAAAAAAGATTTTATCTGATAGTCCGCATCGCATGATGTCTGCACAATTTTGGCGGTTGGCGACATTGGGCCAACCTTAAGACAGCCACCCTCTAGCGCATAGCACTCACGTATGAGAAAAATGACTGATCACGTATTCCCGACGTACGATAAGCGCATGGAACACGTATCCCCTACACATACGTTTTATTGCCTGCGGGTTAATCATATTTCTATTTTAAAATATGTACGTAACAGCTGTTGAGAGAATGAGGTCGCTGTTTTCCAGCACCAGTTGGACCTGATCCAGTTGACAGCGCAAAGTAATCAGCAAAATATTTCGATGCTTCAGGTGCGTTACTCGTGCGCTCATCTACGGCACTTATATGAGCTCACATACGGCATTCAAGATTCCAGGACCACCCCCCTCCCTCCCCCACCCGCCCCCCGCCCGACAATCCCCCTCCCCTTGGACAAGTACCCGAAGACCATTTGCCGCACCTTCCCAGGAAAGAAAATAGGTTGCTTTTGAATCATATATTTGGGGAACTTAAATATAAAACGTAAATATAGTACTCAAATATTATTATACGTTAATGTACGCTTTCAAACGTTAACATACCCATGCTTGGATATGTTACGCATACGCTGTTCTAACGTAATTTCTACGTTACAAATATTCCATCCATGCAATGTCTGTACGCAACTTTTATGTTCATTATCATACGCTGGAAAAGGGGTAATTTAATTTAACCTCTCAAAGTAGTGAGTATAATCGATTTCAATTGCGATACTCATTCTGACATTGATGTGCTGGAGTGTTATCGAGCCTAAATATAAAGGGGGGGGGGGTCTCGATAATCCGACGGTTCATTGGTCCTAGAAAATCGTATGCACGAGCCTCTGTTGAATTTTACTTTATTACCAGTACACTCTTCACTTTATTTATGAATTAATTTCCGACTCTGATGAACTTAATTTATTACTTGTACACTCTTCATCTTATTCATGCATTAATTTCTGACTCTGATGAACTTAATTTATTACTAGTACACTCTTCACTTTATTCACGCATTAATTCGGACTCCAATACTTAACACTCTTCACTTAATTCAAGTATTAATTCGGACTCTACTACTTTAAAACTTGATTGCCAGTGCACCATTCACTTTATACATGCGTTAATTCAGATTCTGATCAATTTAACTTATTACTAGTACACTATTCACTTTTTACATGCATTTATTCAGACTATTGAAACCTATGACCAATGAACCTTCTGACCATTGCCCCAATATAAACATGCATCAGGTTAATACTTGGGGTTAGTAGGTCAGAGTAAGATAACTTATTAAGCGATAGAGCGGACCGTGCCCATTGCGGCCGAACTAACCAAACTGTCCCAAGGGTTTCTATAGTTCTAGTGCTGCATGATGGGTTGATTTCGGAAAAGACCCACTGCCAATTGCGTTCAATGCATTACAGATAACATAACTGTCCCTACGTATTACGTATTCGGAAGTGACAGGGATAGTAGTCCTAGGAATTGTAGTCCGCGGTCCCATATGGTTATAGCCCCCATATTCCAAACACAAAACTACCCCGGTACGACAAACCCTGACATGCATTTTAATCATATTGTTATACATGTAGCTAGTGCACTATGATCCTGGCGTGAACTATAACAATATGCCCATAGTACAGGTGAGGGTTAGTAGTAGTTTTGTGGTTAGTATATGGGTCAAGTGTCACCTGTACAAAGTGATGGGGAATAAACAACGGTTAACCCAGCGGACAACCGTTTTGTCACATCGGGGGGATGTTTTAGGGGTTTGTGACGCGTTAGCGGGTACATTTCCCGCCGACTTGCTCTACCGATAAAATTGAGCGGGTCCAATTAACAAAAAAGCAGTTTCCTCTCTGTGTCCTGTGTCCTACATTGCCGATGGAAGCTACACTAATTATTTGTGCCCTCCCCATATATATATATCCCTCCAACAAAACGTCAGTGCCTGCTAAAAATGTAACAGCCCTGTGACTAAACACATCGAGGGCGTTCGATATTTTTAAATATAGAATCATAAAAAATATCTTTTCGAAATTCCTCCTTCTTAGAGTTACAGTACATGTACTTACTCTTGTTAAGGGAGGCGCTGGTGGTTGCTTCTTTAATCCTCGGGATGGTTGGACGCAGGGAACGCATCCCAGACCTAAACGAAGAGGCAAACTATTTCCCATTCTATGGGTAGAGTCCATAGCAATCACTAACCGCTGAGTTGACAGCATAGCCCTGCTTGTTTGGAAGAGCTTAGGCATATTGGCCGTCTTGAGATGGGGCGCATTCGGGCTTAAAAACAGCTGTAAACTGCACCGTACTCTTTGCCAAATCATTTGCCTGTTAAAAGCTATGTAGTTCTTGTTATACCCGAACACCGGCAGAAAGATATGGACACAATATGCAACTCGGATGGCAAGGTTATCTGAGGACTCCAATACACTCGCTGCCGCTTTAAATAAACTGTCCACCTTATACAGTAGCTATACTTCATTAGGTCACGGCAGGCGCCCGGGCTAGTAAAATGGTGTCGACTTGGGCCCAGGTTCATCTACAATGGATAGTGCGATCCCTTTGGTAACACAGCATTGGGTGCATTGGATACAAAAATATTGTCCTTGTAACAATTAGCCCGAGCGTAGCAGGTTTTTCAACCATCGGCCCATGAGGCACACACCGTTGATTCAGTGTTGATTCTTTGTTGAAGTAACGTTGAGACGTTGATAGATGTAAATGTTGATTCAACTTTGATTCAACGACCACATTTCAACAATGGTACGTCATGTAATTCAACGTTGAAGTGAAATTAAGTGTTTAAACCAAATTTATTTCAACATTGATTCAACTTTCATTTTTCAACGTTGATATTTCAGTAAATTTTTAATGTTGATTCGACGTTGATTCCATGTTACGTTGCAACGTTGATATTTTATCAGACGTAAATGTTGATTCAAGTTAGACATTTTAATATTTCAAGCTTGTATCGATGTTGTAGTTCCAAATATATATTGGAAAAAAGGGAAAACACTATTTTACCCACGGGAGGGCTGTATGGTATTCAGGATGATTATTATATCCAAGTACTACATAGTTTCCATAGGATATAGTGCTATTAATAATCAAGTGTTGATAAAACCGGGCCCTATCGTACATACTAATTATTCAACAAGGCATATATTTGTTGGTCATGCGATCATATAAAGACGATTCCTGTTGTATATACCCAATGCCCCTTAGCCTATTTTAGTGTGCATTAAAAGCTCACCAAACCTGAGCATATGTAATTCAGCTCGTAGCAACCCGTGTTATATTTCCTGGTGTCAGAATCCATTATTAGTGCTGTCATAGAAGGATAATTTATAACATTATATGTCTCGAATATATTATATGATTCACCTGGATTAATCATTTAAGTTGTCAAGAGTTATCTGGAAGCCATTATAAATATGTAAGTCTTCTGTATCATAGGTACGTGTGTCATAATCCCAAAGTCAGGCGAGGCTAGTAATATGTGTGCATATTATGCTGATGTGCATAGTAGCTTTTACCGGTACCTTATATACATGCACAGAAACAGCAGAAACAGCAGAAAACTCCAAAGACAATAGAACCGTCAAAGTGCACATTCAGAGCAAGTTGACTAACAGTTTAGCGGATCAAACATGGCTGACCCACTTAAAAGATATGTCGACCTATCCCCTGATGATTAAGCATCTGAACTTTTTTTCTGTCAAAATGTGTGACGTAAACTTAGATTTAAGCATAAACATAAGACGCTGGCATTCAATTTTACTTTCATATTGGTAATTGGATGATTTGAGTTAGTGATAAAACGAAAAACAGAAAGACAGAGAGAAAAGCGGAAGTGAAAGCTTAAAGGGATAATAACTCTTCGTTTCGGCCAAAAAATGAATTTTCCCGGAGTAAACAACAATTTTCCCATACTTACCAATGGTTAATGAATCCATTTTTACATTCAGGGTTAGTCTCTGGTTTTTTTCTAAAAAGTTTGGTTTTTTGTTAAAATCTCTTAAGAGATTTTAACAGAGTATAGCCATCAATGGAGGTCACGTGGTCTAAAGACAAGCTCAGATATCAGAATAATAGCTTTAACTGCAGTTTTTGTGGTAAAACAGAATATATTATATTTCTATGAGTTATTCACAATGTTTTTATTGTGAAATATAGATCTCATATGAAGAGTTATTATCCCTTTAATATACTTGGAGTCGGTAATTAAAGATGAAATGCAGATATTCTTCTACGTACATGTACCTTTTCAAGACGTGGTGTTTGGTTCGTTATTCTCCTGGCCGCTTTGGAGCATAGCGCAGATCCCAGAACTACACTAGGTCGGCAGTTAGTCTAGAGCCGCAGGGAACCTGTGGGTTGAACAAGTTTTGTTAAACCACGGTCTATTTGAAAAAGCCGCACTAACGACCGAGTACGTTGGGCGATTTTTGACACGTCGAACATTTTCAACCAGAACAATCAGTGAGCTTAGAAATAATAAGCTCCGCCACTGCATTAAGCCATGCTAAATGAATAATATGGAATAATAATCATTGCAAAATTAAATTGCGATTTGGACGTAAAATGAGCATGAAAATTGACAACCAGTGATCTAACGCCCAGGCAACCACCCCATTCAAACTGAACGTCACCTTGGAATGTGGCAGATGAAAAGGTGCAATGTTTAATTCAAAGGGTGTGTGGTTTGGATTTAGAGGGCATTCCCAACAGTTTATCCTCGGATTTACCGATCCGCGGATCAAATATGTAGGACCTTACATGATGGCAGAGCCTACTAATCCGCTGAGGGTCTCCGCGACCACACGCGCCGTCCCTACAGGGGTCTAGCGATTAAACCTCGGTGACGCGGTTTAATCCGTTTAATGGCGCTGGCGGCAGCAGGGAGATTAACAGCGGATTAGTCGGCTCAGGTTTCATGTAGGATCCGCCATATTTGATCTGCAGATCAGTATACCCAAGGGTCATCTGTTGTGAATGCCCTTTTAGTGGCCGCCAGGTATATGGCGTTATATGCATCCATAAATAGCTATCCTCAAAATATAAAAAGAGTTTTTCCTTTATCACCAATGTACTTTTTTGTTTCCTATCCAAACCTGGTGAGAAAAGTTACGGTATATACGTCCGTTTTCGATTTTTCTTACCGTGATGCTATTTATGGATATAATTGTTTTTGATGTTTTTAACAGTCCTAGGCCACATTCAGAACAGTGAACTAGTTAGTCCACGGGTCAAATATGGCGACCCATTAAAAAGCTTGCCGTCTATCCCGCTTATAGACACTGAATAGATTACCCGTGGGGAAATATTCAAGTGGAATGGCCATATTTGACCCTCGGACTAGTTAATAATATACCCAATAGACCACACTTAAGCAGCCTATATTAAGATAGCCATCAAAACTCTATAATTTTGATAATTTTCTTTTTTATATAGCATATGTCTACCAGAATCATATATTCAGTAATACAGTATGTCTTGTGTCTGTAAAGAATTAATGCTGGTGGGAAAATGAATTCGTCGAAAGTAATTGCGATCATACTTTTTGTCCGTTGTATTATACCTATTGATAATTGTAAGAAAAGCTGTCCGACATTATAATGCTGGTATCATTTATTTTATCTGTCAAAATGATGTTGATGCCTGAAAATACGTACTGTTCCAGTAGTCATAACGCGCAGTGACATTGCGAACGATAGGAGTAAAAGCGGTTGAAAACTAAGAAGAGGGTAAGTTACCATGAATGCGTAAACGTGTAATTGTGCAAGTAATAATGAAATCAGATATGACAAATAACTTTCTTATAAATCAAATAAGAAAATACCGGTTCGAGTCATATTTTCCTAAAAAACAACTTTTAAGATATTGAGAAAAAGGTCGTTGTAGACTGAAGAAGATGTCAATTTGACATTGAAACGATTTTCTGAGGATCTAAAATTGTTGTGTTTAAAGAAAAAAAAGAGACTAATCTTAACTGTCGGATTAGATTTATTAACAGTTGGTAAGCATGGAAATATTGGCGTTCAATTATCTCGGGAAAATCCACTTTTTGGCCAAAACGAGCAGATGTTATCCCTTTCTAATACATCCGAGATAAATAGGTCTTACTATGTGGTTCACTTGGGTTAGTAATTTAAGGGGGGAATTATCAAATCAAATTTTAAATAGTAGTTTTCTGAAAAGGAAAACAAAATATGTTACTATTTTTACGTACTCCAAGACGAGCAAGTTGCCAATTCATATTTTAAGCGTTTTCTGAAGGTATAAAGTAAAAATCAGCGTGGGTGTTTCTCTGTGGGCCTGTTGAACACATATATTGTATTTCAGAACGACTTGTTTACTATGAAGCTGTTAATAATCGTGCAAGTAGCTGTTCTGTACGCTACATGTCTGCATGATGTCAAGGGCCGTGAATCCACCACCGAGGTAGTTATTATATTTAGATGGTATTAAGCCATGAATGTCTTGTCAGAAACTATACAAAGCTTACATGTAATATTGAGCCCTTGACAATTTCAAACCAACGATAAAAAACTCCAGTGGACTCTGAATTATTTGTTCATCTAAGCCCAGACTTGTAAATATTTGCCAATGACTGGAAGTATAGCTCTAATAATTAATATATATATTTCTCCTCTCTGACAAAAAATTGTGAAATCAGACTTGTATCTGTGTAAATACTTTATATTAAGGAGTCCTCAAACGCGGAGCCGTCTGCCCTTTTCAAGAGGAAAATGCATGCATATCTCACACAACTTGATGTCAACAAGGATGGCAAATTGGACAAACGAGAGTACGTGGATTTAACAACAGAGAGAAGTCGACAGGCTCTCCCTTCTTGGAGGTCAAAGGTCGTATATGCAATTTTGTCTGCTTCTTGGGGTACCTGGTTTTCAAACGAACACAACCAATATAAGCAGTCAGTTACAGTCGATGAATGGATTGAATTACTCAAAATTGCCAATGCAAATTTCACGAGTAATTCAAAATTCTCCGAATGGTGTGAGGACTGGTTCGATACCATCAATTTGGATTGTGGTGAGGACATTTCTGTTGATGAGTTTGGTAAATTCTTGGTGATATTCCATAGTGCCTTGCCACCGGAAGTGCCATTCAATACCACTGATCAAGATGGCAATGGCGTCATCACTGGGCAAGAGTTCGCAAATGGTTGTGCCCAATTTTATTACAACCAGAACGACCCCGAGACAGCTTTCTTTTATGGATCCCCGGACAATTAGATAACGACAGCGTCAAAGAAGAGCAATTGATGTGCCACATTTTATAGCAGCTTTTGCTCAATAAAATTATGAGTAAATATTTGGTTAGCACATGATAACATTTTTTTATGTTCGCTATTGTTTTGTTATGCTTTGTTATTATCATATGCGAAGTCGATGATTTTCAGGAACTGTCATTAGTGGTCCAAGGAAGAGATGATTAGTTTTTGGTGGTGATCCGGATCAGTAATCAATCAATAATCAAAAATCAATCATCAACACCGATTTTGATGAAATTTTCAGGGTTGGTCAGAAATGGGTCAACTTAGAAGTGATTAGTATTTGGTGGTGATCCGGAACAATAATCAATCAATAATCAATAATAATAAAACATTGCTGCCTTGACGGAGGACTGCGCTCTCTGAGTGCTTTTCTAGTTTTATTAAAGGTGTAGTCCCTCATGTCCTCGTTGAGAATACATATTCCATTTAAAACAATGATGCTTTGTTTTAAGATATTTAGAATGCGCTTTTTGAGGGCGAAAGGTGCCATTAGGTACGGTTTAGAACTATGATTCAGCTAGACAAAATTCTAATTTCAAAAGGGGACTATTGGTGTGATTTTTTTTAAATCAAAGGGGGGTGTCAGGACCCCCCTGACACTTCCCCTAAGTCCGCCACTTTTCTTGCCACATGCTTGTTGTTGTCTTATCCACTGATGGTTTTCCCGCCTCCACACGTGACGTCCCTGCAGGGGCCTAGCAATCAAACGTAAGAACCAAGATTTTATTTGTTTAATTGCGCGGATGGGGCGGAGAGACCATCAGGGGATTAGACGACCTGTCTTTAAGTAGGGTAGGCCATATTTGGTCTGCGGATTAAATGGTCCACGCATTATCTGTTCTGAATGCGTCCTTTTGGTTTAGCAGAAGCGTACCTTGTGTCGTTCTTAAAGGGATAATAACTCTTCGATTCGGCCAAAAAATGAATTTTCCTGGAGTAAACAACAATTTTCCCATACTTACCAGTGGTTAATGAATCCATTTTTACATTCAAAGTTAGTCCCTAGTTTTTTTCTAAAAAGTTTTTTTTTTTTTGTTAAAATCTCTTCAGAGATTTTAACAGAGTATAGCCATCAATGGGGGTCACGTGGTCTAAAGACAAGCTCAGACATCAGAAAAAATAGCTATAAGTGCCGTTTTTGTGGTAAAACAGAATATATTATATTTCTATGAGTTATCCACAATGTTTTTATTGTGAAATATAGATCTCATACGAAGAGTTTTTATCCCTTTAACTTCTCGATCCTCTCGTAGCCAGTGTCAGATTGTAACGTCTGTATTATACACGGCACAGGCCTGCGATACAAAACAAACCAACTGTCAATTTTATGTTTGAATACGCGCCAATGCGATTGATGGCAGATGTCGTATATATTAGAATGACTGAGCAAGGTGAAATGCAGATATTCCTCTACGTACCTTTTCAAGACGTGGTGTTTGGTTCGTTATTCTCCTGGCCGCTTTGGAGTATAGCGCAGATCCCAGAACTACACTAGGTCGGCAGTTTGACTTGAGCCTCAGGGTGCCTGTACATGTAGGTTGAACACGTCTTGCTAATACCTGGTGTCACGAAACTGGGGGTCCGTGTGACAGGAAATCCCCCCTCCATATAGTTATAATGGTTAGGGTTAGCCTGTCCTAAGTCTGTCAAAATCTAGGGCTAGGCTTACCTGTACAAAGTGATGGGAAGCGGACTCTTTGTCACGGGGAACTTTCTGGTACATGACTCCGCCCTAATTGAAAAGGCTGACTACATTGGGCGGTTTTTGACACGTTGAACTTTTTCAACCAGAACAGTCACTGCAGGATAAGAAGTAATCAGCTTCGCCACTGCATTTAGCCATGCACTGGGAATGGTATGCAATAATATTTATTGATAATTAAATAGAAATTTGGAAGTAAAATGAACATCCAGTGATTGACAACCAGTGATCTAGCCTCAATAGGCAACCATCCCATTGAAACTGAACGTTACCTCGGAATGTGGCAGATGAAGAGGTTCAATGTTAAATTCAAGGGTTGTGTGGTTTTGATTTAGTGGCTTCCCGGTGTAACAGGAATGGAAGTCCACTAGAAACCGTAGTCCGTTCCCCATTACTTTGTACACTTGACATTCGTTCCATTATACTCACCCCAATACTCCGACTTACCTTAACCTGTACTAATTAATGGAAGCCCGGACTTCATTGGTCCGAATGTTCACTATAGAACCTTCGGACCAATGAACCCTTGATTAAAAAAACGATGAAAATGTAACTGTTTTTCGGACCAACGAACCTTCGGACTATCGAGACGCCCCCCCCCCCCCCCCAGGACTACCGTTCCTGTCACCCCGGCTCGCGTCAGTGATTTGTAACGTTAAATTAATACACAAATTGATATCCTCAAAATATTCAAATGTTTCCCTTTACCACCAATGTACTTTATTTGGTTCCTATCTAAAACTGCTGGGAAAAGTTCCGGTGTATAGGTCCATTTTCGATTTTTCTTACCTTGATGCTATTTGCGACTATAATTTTGTCTATGTTTTACAGACCCAAATACATAAAATACCCAGTAGACCAAACTAAAATAACGCACATTAAGATAGACATCACAACCCATAATACTTAGAATTCTGATGTTTTCTTTTGTTTACTGCATATGTTTACCTGAAACATGAAGTAATATATCTGTTGATTGATGCTGGTGTGATATGATGTATTCCTTGAAAGTGATTGTAATGCTTTTATTTGCCCGTTGTATTATGTCTGTGCTGTTAATAAATGTATGTAAAGTTGTCCGACATTAATGCTGGTATAACCTTTTTTATCTGCCAAAATGATTTTGATGCCTGAAAACGCGTACTGTTCAGATACATGTAGTCATAATGCGCAGTGACATTGCAAACGACTGAAGCAAAAGCGGAATTGAGGAAAGGGTAAGTTACCAGGAATATTACAATTGTACAGTAATTTTTCCAAGTTAAAATGAAATCAGATATGACGAATAATGAGAAAATGCCGGTTCGAGTCATATTTTTCTTTAAAAACTTTAAATATTGAGAAAAATTCGTTGTGGACTGACGAGGATGTCAGACCGACATTGAAAGGATTTTCTGATGATCTTAAATTGGTAGGTTGTGTTCAGAAAAAAAAAGACTTAAATTTGACTGTCGGAGCAGATCCATTAACACGTGGTAAGAATGGAAAAATGGGCGTTTATTGACCCCAGGGAAATCTATTTTTGGCTAAAATGAGCAGTTGTTATCCCTTTAACGATCCGACATACTAAAATACATCAGAGGTAAAATATGTCTTACAATGTGGATTACATGGGCTATGGATTAAAGGAGGGGGGGGGGGGTGACTTATTCAAAACGAAATGTCTAATACCACAGACATACACAGCAAAGGTATATATTTTAAATAGTTGTTTTCTGAAAAGGAAAACGAAATAAGTTATCATTTTTACGTACTCCAAAACGAGCTTGTTGCAAATACATATTTTAAGCTTTTTCTTCTGAAGAAATAAAATAAAAAAAATAGTGTGGGCATTTTTTCGTGGGCCTGTTGGACTATAAACACATAATGTATATTGTATTTTAGATCGACGTGTTTACCATGAAGCTGTTTAAAATCGTACAAGTAGCTGTTCTGTGTGGTATGCGTGATGTCAAGGGTCGTGAATCCGCCACCGAGGTAGTTTTGATGTTTAGGTGGTATTAAGCCACTGATGTCTTATCAAAACACTATACTAAGCTTACATGTAATATTGAGCCCTTGAAAATTTGAAACCAACGACTAAAAACTCCAGTGGACTCTGATCTATGTGTTCATTTTAACCCAGACTTGTAAATATTTGCCAGTAGCTGGAAGTAATCATAGCTCTTAGAAACATAAATTTCTCTTCTCTGACAAAAAAAAATTATGTGTATATGTTTTATACCTAGGAGTTCTCTATCGCGGAGCCGTCTGCTCTTTTCAAGACGAAAATGCGTGCATACTTCAGACAACTAGATTTCAACGAGGATGGTAAATTGGAAAAACGAGAGTACATAGATTTAACAACAGAGAGAAGTAGAACGGTTCTCCCTTCTTGGAGGTCAAAGGTCGTAAATGCGATACTTTTTGCTGCTTGGGTTCCTTGGTTTTCAAACGAACACACCCATTTTAAACAGTCAGTTACCGCTGATAAATGGATTGAATTACTCAAAATTGACCTTGTAAATTTCACGTTGAATTCCCATTACCCAGAGTGGTGCGAGGACTGGTTTAATATCATCAATGTAGATTGTGGTGAGGATATTTCTGTTGATGAGTTTTCCAAATTCTTGGTGATATTCCATAGCGCCTTGCCACCGGAAGTGCCATTCAATACCACTGATCAAGATGGCAATGGCGTCATCAGCGGGCAAGAGTTCGCAAATGGTTGTACCCAATTTTATTTTAACCAGAACGACCCCGAGACAGCTTTCTTTTATGGATCCCCGGACAACTTTTATGGATCCCCGGGTAACTTTTATGGACCCCCGGGCAATTAGATAATGACACTGTCAAAGAAGAGCAATTGAAGGGCCGGATTTTACAGTAGCTTTTGCTCAATAAAATTATGAGTAAATATTTGGTTAGCACATGATAACATTGTTTTTTATGTTCGCTATTGTTTTGTTATGCTTTGTTATTATTATATGCGAAGTCGATGATTCGCACGATTTTGAGCATATGAAATCGTTTTTCATGAAAATGAATATATAAGCAGCATATAAAATGGTTTTTGCTTAAAACATCGTATCGCCCTCGTTCAACATCGTTTACCTGCGTTCTCGAGAACATAAACGGTGTCAGCGTAACGAACCCTTGCATAGCAGGTGTCAGTGAACCACTTTCCACTAAACATTTATCCCTTTTTAAAAGTGTTACCTCCGTCTGTGGTTTTTTCATAATATACCTACACAAGGCGGTACATCTGGCATCAAAGAGGAAAAAAATAGGGGCACTCGTTGGCTCACAAGCCCTTGTTTGAATAATAATAATAATAATAAATTAATTTTAAGTCTAAAATCCATTTAAAATGTTCAGTAGACTTTACATAAAATATCATAAATAATACTACATAAAATATCATAAATAAAATCTAGAACAGCCATTATTCCATACAATTAAATGTAATTAATACAAGATTTATAAAATCAATTAAGAGTTAATCAAAATATTTCCTTAAAAGGTATGTTTTGAGTTCTTTTTTAAAATGTTTGGTAGACTGAATTGCTCGGATTTTCAGCGGTAATAGATTCCATTCCTTTGCACCTGCAGCTTTAAAAGATACAGACTTGACATTTAATATGGAATATTTTTTCCAAATCATAATTCATCAGTTTTTTTCCTATTTTGCTGACTGATAAATGAAAATAAGGATTAAAATCGTGCTTTAATAACTTTTGATAATCTATTCGATGTCAGTGTGACATCAGTTCATTAACTGAATTCACCAGTGAAGCATACAAAAATACATTGCCTATTTTAAGTCATACGACAACCATTGAAAGCGATATTTTGGATCTCCATATTTTCCTAATTATTGTCTTTAAAAGAGTTAAACGTCCCACAAAGGCCCCCCATGTCAGTGTCTAGTCACAGCAACAGTCGCTGTTACGCTTGACCTCATCTTGCTGCTACCAGAGTTTCAAGCCGCCAGGTATTCCTTATGATAGGTTTTTAGAGTTTAATCTGAAATAAAATTCCAGGCAACGGTTAAAACTTGTCCAATTTGTCTCAGTTTTGTTGTAGGACATGCAGGCCGTTGATACGGCGAGTAATGACCTACCGACATATTGTCTATGTGGTTCAATTATGGCGATTTTGATGACCAAGGTAGCTACTCATTCCCTTGATTCTGAAGTTTTTTGCTATTAAAGGTGCTCTGTGTTAACCGGCAATCTCATCGTGCAACCTAAAATTGTTCCTAAGGTGCCCCCTATCAAATGATAGTCAAGTGGTTCCCAGATTATTCCTTTATTTGATCTGGTTCAGGTTTTCATCGTTGACTACCATTGGTGTTTTGGCACCAATGTGGTATCCACTCCAAATACTGACACTGTCAATTACCCTGGTTACTTAAGAAGTGGCACACGTTTCTTCGTAGGCCTCTTCAGGATGTCTGTAAACTCTGTTTTGACCAGTTTAGCGGTACAGGTGAAGTTTGACCCCAATAAAGAAAGACACGCGGTTTCAGTGTTCTACCCAGAAACGGTCATGGTCCCCAATTCATTAGAGAAACAGACTACGCTGCTTTGCTGTTAACAGTTGCTTCCTTAGAGGTCATCTGGTATCTTAACCTGCTGAAACCAGTTTGGTGTTCGCTAAGAGCCTTGAAAAACGCGTTTTGGTGACAATTTGCCCCTCGGACTGGGTTGTTTTGATTTAATTGCAGCAGCATATCCTGAAGGACAGTGAGTCCTGTACCCTGGTGGTAAGACGTCAATGCATTGGGCGTGGTCTCTGTGTAGGTACATCGGTCTGGGCATTACCCTATAAAACTGTATAGACCATTCCGTTTGACACAATAATCTGTCTGGCAATGTCTGTGCTTTTCGCGCCATTCTGGCACAGCTTAAAGGACAACTCAGTGGGTTAGATTAATGTATAGAAGCAGGTTCTATGTAAAACTTTGATCAGATTTGTGTTTTGGGAGATTGTTTATTATTATATGAATAAGTCTGGGTCACAAAAGTCCTGTTAAGACAACTAGAATAAAGAATTAGAAAACGAAAACTATTTATCATGATTTCGGAGCACAGCCAGAAGTACTTCCGGCTCAAGGTCACGACCTCGATTTTCCCACGCTTACGACCAATCACAGCAGGCTTCAGTCAGAAAGAGATAGACGTCACGACTACACAGCGAAACTTGTCAGACATGTAAGTGCCGCCTGTCCATCTTTTCGGTACATGTACCGATCAAAAACAGAAAATGTAAAGCCCAAAACGCTCTTATACACGTAACCAACTTTGTTTGAGCACAAATATTGTCATTTATTGTGAACAGGATAATATGATAATCAGACACACTTGAGACCTGTGAAGCGCATACTCACGTGTCGAGGAGTAGTTTCGCCATTGCCTCGTATGCGAGTCCTAACTCAGCTTTAAGTGTCCTCCACCGCCCCACCTCCCTCCCAACATACACAGTCTGAGTGCTTCTTCGTCTGTCTCTAATTTTCTTTCGCATCTTTCGAACTGGAGTGGCTATTTTCTTTCGCCCCCTTTTGTCGCTCTCCTGTTCAGACTTGACGCGCGTCTGAGCCATGTTTGCTGTTTTGGCGCCAAATAGTAACATCCGGGTCTCAGCCGTAGTACTTCATTCATAGTAAACCGCGAGACTTAGCGAGAAATTACGCGTTCTGAAGCCGTACTGTGAGGTGGTAGCTGAGTATTTAAGACGAGTCGTCTTTTATTATTTAATGGAACTTAAAAACGGTATTAGGTAGCTTCATTTTCTGAACGGTTTTGGATAGGATATACCTTGGTCATTATGGGGAAATTGGTGAGTTTTCCAGGAAAATTCATTTTCGTGCTATTTTAAGGGTTTAACGCGCTGAGACTGTCTTTAACAATTTTATAAAACACTGCTTTTAACTCATTTTACGCACTGCAAAACCGACCGCTTGCATGCAAAATTTTAAATTCTTCTATGCAGTAGTTGCCGATATATGGATACTTTTTTGACAGAACCATGCTTCGCCAAAGCCAAGCTTTGACCAGCCCAAAGGAGCACTGCCCAATTAAATCACTGCATATTACACAAGGCAACAGAGCAACAGACTTGGTAGTCAGTTAATTGGCAGCGACACACCTGACTTCACACTTCTCCAGTCAGATGTCTAATATGAGATCTGAATTTTTTGAAAAAAGAACGCATTTTTACCTAAGTATACCTTTAAAACTGAAATATTCCATTTTAAATGTCAAGTCTGTATATCACCGTACTTTCGACATACATGACACCTATTGGTAGCGTATTACATGTATCAAACAGTCATTTCTACTATTATCTCCGTTTTAACCTGAATATCATGGCGCTAATGTCACTTTGAATGTTTTAATTGAATTGAACGGGATCTTGAAATGCAGAAATCGCACTAGCAAAAAAGGGAACAACAGCGTTGCGTTATATTTGACGCTCTAATGCCATATCTTGCCCACCCTCGTTACGTAAACGCTCGTGTTTGTGTGTATGTGTGTGTGTGTGTGCGTGTGTGTGCGCGCGCGCGCGCGTGTGTGTGTGTGGTAACAGTTGAGTGTGTGCGTCTCCCTCCCTGCTTCCTGTGCTTACACCGCCTCACAATTTTATAAAATGGTGCAGTCCCTCATGCCCTCGTTGCGAATACATATTCCTATTAAAACAATTTCATTTTAAGATACTTTTAAATAAATGCATAGGTTTCCAATTTAATGCATAACAACTTCTTTTGTGGACCTACTCGTGTTTTCCCTTTCCCCTGACCACCTTTAATTCCTGAAAGTGACCGCAGCAGCTTTGTTATTTTATGTTTAGTCCTTATGAATTCCTTAACAATACGGGGTATTTGAACAAAAAAAGAAAACTTGATTATGTGCATTCTGATGCGGTACGTGCCTGGCGCGGTGCAGGGATCACGGTCATACATGAAACTAATTACTGAATGGGTTAGAGAGGTGGATGGGGCGGACATATTTAACCCCAAAAGTGACCTACTGGTACATATAAGTGTTCAACTCATTTCTCTTTCATCACAAATATAGCAAGTACTATCGGGTTGAATTGGGCGTTGGAAAACGCATATTTTTATATACGCATATGCACCGCGGTATTTTTAACATTCATGGATATGTAATACCTTGATAATAAAGTGCGAATGTTGCAGAGAATGCACTTTTTTCATTGACAAAATGTAAAAACTATCTTGCGTGCGTATATTGTATGTCTTTATACATCTTTAATAACTTACAGCGTCAACGAAATTACACTCACTATATTATCATTTCCAACGCTGTATATGATACGTTTTTGTATGTCGGAGTCACGTATAAGTATGCGGGAGCAATGGTTATTTAATGAACAATGTATAAAGTATTCAAAAATTTGCCGTAGATTGAGAGATAAATTACCATATGATACTCCAGCTAGAACATATTACCATCAGAACAAAAGAGGTTATGAATATGAACAGATGGTCAAAAACATCCCGCTTTTTCCGCGTTCTTTTAGTACTATGTTGCTGGGCAGTCATCGCGGTGCTTGTTGAGCACTATATAGTGTTTATAAGACGAATAAACCAGGTTCTCACAGACCAACAGCAACCACTGGCGAGAATCAGGCATCTGGGGTCTCCGCATTCCCATTTTCATGTCAGACGGATTTACAACCCAGGTATCCACAACGGAGACGTCCACGACCAGTTTTATTACCACAGCAACCACTATGTCCATGAAAGCTCTGCGACGCAGGAACTTTTTACAAATTTGCCGGAAACAGTGGATACGTGGAGAACAAACCAGCGCCTCAATGGTGATGGAAAAGATACCAAATTAGAAGAGGGCCCCAAAGTTTTTAATAGATCGGGGAATCTAAAATACAACATTACAGTCAACAAACCAGTCACTCCATCGGTAAAGTCAATTTTGCTTTGGAACGATTACCAATACTACTACGACGTGAAGCGGGAGCCACTTTTTGAGTCTTGTCCAGTAAATTCATGTGTCATTACGACTGACAGAAACCAATCCGCTATTGTGGACGCGATTATATTCAACGTGGCGCCTAGAGCATTTCACCAAGAATGCCAGGGAGTGGAAAAAGAGTGTGAAATTCCACTTTTAAAACCCAAACACCAAATCTGGGTGTTCCACACACTGGAACCGTCCTGCCTAACTTCCATGAGAAAGCAAGACAACAAAGAAATGTTATTCAACTCGTTTAATTGGACGTTCACATATAAGAGAAACTCCGATGTGTTCACTCCTTACGGAATGATTATAAAACGAGACGAACCTCTCACACGCAACTTCTCAGAGATTATCAAAGCGAAAAAGAAACTGGTTGCTTGGGTGGTCAGTGATTGTACCACCAGAAGTAGGAGAGAAGAGTATGTTGCAGAGTTAAGTAAATACATCAATGTGGATATACTAGGTGACTGTGGAAGACCATGTAGAAACTGCTGGAGATATATCAATGTGACATACAAGTTTTACCTCGCCTTTGAGAACAACCTGGCGGACGACTATGTCTCTGAGAAGTTTTTCAGATCTTGGAATTTGGACGTAGTTCTTGTGTCAAGAAGCGGAGCCAATTACTCAATCTTTGGTGTGCTCCCAGAAATGCACATAGACACGTCAGATTTTACGACACCAAAGGCTCTGGCAGAGTACCTCCTTTTGCTAGATAGGAACGACACGCTGTACTTACAATATTTAAACTGGAAAAATTACTACCGGACAACAAGACCTATGGATGGACCGTATGTTAACTGGTGCAGTTTTTGTAGTAAATTACACGAGGAACCTCAAATATCGAATGTTTATTCTAAAAGTGAGCTATGGGACTGGCTATATGGGTCTGGAACTTTAAATGGATGCAGAGCTCCGACTGACCTTGACTTTAATAAGACAGACACTGTTACGGATAGAGAAGCAGAACTCGAATGATTCTGGCATCAGTATTCAAGCAGTGATTTTTGTGACACATTTTTTATCTCTTTCATTGCATGCTACACTTGGTTTCCTTTGCCTCATTAATTTTGTAGAGATTCAGGAATTGAAGAAATTTGCATGGCTTTTTTCCGCTAAGGAATATAAACGCATGTTGTTTATTTGCTCACTGTCAACTACATCTCTGTCTTTGTTGCACTGATATTGAATCTAACGTTGACCACTTGGATGAAGAATTTTATCATACTCTATCAAATATTAAACAAAAGATAAAATTATACAATGTTTACAAATCCTTTCATCACTTTAATGCACCGCTGTGATACGAGTAGCGCTATATACACGGTTCATCTACCCAGAATGGAACACATTCAAGTCACAGACAGGCCCCAGAAATAAAAAAAACAAAACATTAAATCAAGCATTAGGCCTTTCTCGAAAGAAGCCAGATTCCGATGAACTGATAAACACAATTCTAAAACAATTTTTTCTGATTATAATAAATTGTTATTGGTGCACACCCCACACCCGAAATCTTTACCTAATGCAATATATACGTGTGTGTGTGTGTGTGTGTGCGTGCTGTGCGTGTGTGTGCGTGTGNTATATACGTGTGTGTGTGTGTGTGTGTGCGTGCGTGCGTGTGTGTGCGTGTGTGGGGGGGGGGGGTGTGTGCGTGTGCTGGTATACATGCCTCTTCCTTTCGTGCCAAACTATGGCCAGGCGAAGATGTGGGATCTGTCGTTGCAGATGTCCAAGACATTGCTCCCATACACCCTCTGTTATCAGCCTTTTTGAATTAATCCACGTGGTAATTGCAGTTGTTGAGACTTTTACCTCATGCATCAAAACACAATTGGTTTCGTTACGTCCCACGTCCCAATTTTGAGCTCATTCTAGCAGGATTTTTGTCTTACCATTTCTCTTCTCCCTCGAACGCAATCAGAATGTTTCGAATGATGTCGGAACGCCCTACGTATATTTAGATTGCACCCATAGTGCAGTTAGAATGGACTAAGCATGCCATTCGATATTTTTCCATTTGGAATGCACTTCGAAAGTTTTGAGCATGAGCAAAAAATTTGGGCCGGCCACAAGAATGGGTAAAAAATATTTGGAATGCACTCAGAAATTTTAGAATGCTCTTCGAATATCCAGGAACGAACAAAGAATTGTATTTCCGTCGGCATTCTTGCTCATTCCGCCTCTAGTGTGATGGGCCATTAAGGTTCGGTCACCCCTAATGAGGCACGTGTGAGAATCAAACATGAATTCTATAATACGCAGAGTTTTGAGCACATGAAATCATCCTTCTCAAGCGTATGAAAGTGAACATGTTAGTAGCAAATGCAATTGTTTTTAGACACGTTAAAACATCGTTTGTCCCTCCGCGAATGAGAATGTACTCCATCGTTTACCTGCGTACTTGAATACGTAAACGATGTTAGTCTAACGAGCCCCTTGCATAGCAGGTTCAGTGATCCACTGCCCACTAAACATTTGTCCCTTTTCAGATGCATTACCTCCATCAAAACGTGGTTTATACCTACACAAGGCGGTGCATCTGGCAGCAAAGGGCAAAAATAGGGGCGCTCGCTGACCCACAATCCCTTGTTTTGATGCTTTCGGCATGCATGACACCTTTTGGTAGCGTTTTACATGTATTAAAAAGGCATTTCTACTATAAACTCCGTTTAACCTGAATATTATGGCCCAAATGTCATTTAAATCGTTTTTTATTGAATTGAACGGGACCGCTTGGAAAGCATAAATCGCACTAGCAAAAAGGGAACAAAGGCTCTACGTTATATTTGAGGGTATAATGCCTTATCTTCCCACTCATTACGCAAACGCTCGTGTTTATGTGTATGTGTGTTCATCTGTATGTGTGTATACGCTCGTGCCTGTGTGTGTGCGCGTGTATGTGTGTGTGTGCATGTGTGAGTGTATGTGCGGGGGTTCATTTAAATATTTTTCTAATTTAAATGTTTTCAATGCGTAACGCATTCTTTTGTGGGCTTTCTGGTAGCAGCTGTCTCTTCTGACCACCTTTGATACTGGGAAGTGACTGCAGCAGCATTGTTACTTTACATTTAGTTCTAATAAATTCCGTAACAATACAGAATTAAACGTATGTGGTACTTGGAGCGGAGCATCTATCACGATAGGTGTAACTGCTTACTGAATGGATTGTAGTTAATAGAAGTACATGTAGATGGGGCGGACATATTTGACCCCGAATGTGACCTACATATGGGTGTTCTCTCGCATACCTTTAAAAAAACTAATAAAGCAAGTAAGATCGGATTGAATTGGCATGGGCATATGCACTGATACCTTGATAATAAAGTGAGGACATTGCAGAGAATGATTGTTTTTCATTTAGGACATGTATTAAATTATCTAGCGTGCGTATATTGTGTGCCTTTATACATCTTTAAATAAGTAACAGCGTCAAGGTAATTACACCCACTGAATGGTTATTTCCAACGCTGTATATGAGACATTTTTGTATGTCGGCGTCACGAATAAGTATGCGGGAACAATGGTTATTTAATGTAAAATGTATAAAGTATTCAAAAATGTGCAGTTGATTGAGAGATAAATTACTATGTCTGATACTCCAGCTAGAACATATTACCATCAGAACAAAAGAGGTTATCAATATGTACAGATGGTCCAAAACGTCCCGCTTTTTCAGCGTTCTTTTTGTACTATGTTGCTGGGCAGTCATCGCGGTGCTTTTTGAGCAATACGTCGTGTTCATCAGACGAATAAACCAGGTTCTCACAGACCAACAACAACCACTGACGAGAATAAGGAATCTGGGGTCTCCGCATTCCCATGGTCATGTCAAACAGATTTACAACCCAGGTGTCCACAACGGAGATGTCCACGGCCAGTATTATAACAACAACAACCACTATGCCCATGTAAGTTCTGTGCGGCAGGAATTTTTTACAAAATTTCCGGTGACACTGGATACGTTTACAACAAACCAGCGCCTCAATGGTAATGGAAAGGATACCAAATTAGAAGAGCGCCCCAATGTTTTTAATGGATCGAGAAATCTAAAATACAATAATACAATCAACAAACCAGTCTCTCCATCGGTAAAGTCAATTTTGCTTTGGAACGATTATCAATACTACTACGACGTGAAGCGGGAGCCACTTTTCGAGTCTTGTCCAGTAAATTCATGTGTCATTACGACTGACAGAAACCAATCCGCTATTGTGGATGCGATTATTTTCAACGTGGCGACTACTGCATTTCACCGGGAATGCCAAGGAGTGGAAAAGGAGTGTGATATTCCACTTTCGAAACCCGAACACCAAATATGGGTGTTCCACACACTGGAACCGGCCTGCCAAACCTACATTAGAAACCAACGCAACAAAGAAATGCTATTCAACTCGTTTAATTGGACGTTCACATATAAGAGAAACTCCGATGTGTTCACTCCATACGGAATGATTATAAAACGAGACGAACCTCTCACACGCAACTTCTCGGAGATTATCAAATCGAAAAAGAAACTTGTTGTTTGGGTGGTCAGTGATTGTACCACCAGGAGTAGGAGAGAAGAGTACGTTACTGAGTTAAGTAAATACATCGATGTGGATATACTAGGTGACTGTGGAAGGCCATGTAGAAACTGCTGGAGAAACGTCAATGAGACATACAAGTTTTACCTTGCCTTTGAGAACAACCTGGCGGACGACTATGTCTCTGAGAAGTTTTTCAGATCTTGGAATTTGGACGTAGTTCTTGTGTCAAGAAGCGGAGCCAATTACTCAATCTTTGGTGTGCTCCCAGAAATGCACATAGACACGTCAGCTTTTACGACACCAAAGGCTCTGGCAGAGTACCTCCTTTTGCTAGATAGGAACGACACGCTGTACTTACAATATTTAAACTGGAAAAATTACTACCGGACTACTAGACCCATGGATGGACCGTATGTTAACTGGTGCAGTTTTTGTAGTAAATTACACGAGGAACCTCAAATATCGAATGTTTATTCTAAACGTGAGCTATGGGACTGGTTATACGGGTTTGGAAGGTCAAACGGGTGCAGAATTCCGACCGACCTTGGTTTTAATAACACAGACCCCGTTACGGATAGAGTACCGGAAGTAGAATGATTCTGGCATTGTTATTCAACCTGTAGAGATTTTGTGGATATTCAAGAATTGAAGACATTTGCATGGCTTTTTGCGCTAACTAATATAAAGGCCTACGCATGTTGTTTATTTGCTCACTGTCAGGTACATCTCTGTCTTTGTTGCACAGGCCACTTAGGATTTTAACCTACTCTAGAGAATTTTCACCTACTCTATCAAATAAGCAACAAGAGAAAAAATTATATATAAAATATATAAAATATATAAACATTTACAAATCCTTTCCTTACTGAGTTCTCACTTTAATTCACCGCTGTGATACACGTTGCGATACCGGGGTATTTATACGGCGCATCTACCCAGATTGGAACACATTCAAGTAAAAGACAGGGCTCAAAATGATAATTTGCAGTCTAGCATTTCTCGAAAGAAGCCGAATTCCGATGACCTGATACACAAAATTCTAAAAAACATTTTTCTAATTATAATTAATTGTTATTGGTGCACACGCGACACCCGAAACCTTTAACTTATGCAATATACTAGTTCCTATAATTCTGCTTTAACCGCTACAAGTACAAATTCTTGTTAATATACAGACGAAGGTAATCGATATATATGAATATGCCTAGAGGCTTCATCTTATTTTCATCAATGTACATTTTTTTGTGTGAAAAGACAGCATTTCTTAAAGTCTTGTTCATCATAACGAGGTTGGCTAGTCTGGCGTGCAAGGAATCTTTCTCTCCGTTTATCATAGCCTTCTGCCACATGGTAAAATAAGTTAGATATACAAAATGATACGACTTTACATGGGTATTGTATACAGATGACTGCCTTAGTCTTGCCTTTCTGGCACGCAAGGAAATA